ACAAAAATCATTTGGTTGTTGAAAATTATAGTTAAATCAACAACCATTATGAATCAAAGTGATATGGATGTAAAGATCACAATTTCGTGGAATGAGAATTATTTAATGCAATTAATTGTTTAACTTACTGAATCGCACCTAATGTATTTTTTAATTATCACANCCCTTTTTCCTATCTTTCTCTCTTTTTTTTTTTTTCCTTGTGCCACTCAAAGCTACTGAGCATGGCTATTTATAGCCCAAAAATTGCTCGGGGACCAAGCGTCTCATGGACAGTTGTCCAGTTCTTGCCAATCTCTCTCTTTTTTATTTTTTATTTTTTATTTTTTTTTTATTTTTTGCACATTTCACATTTGCAGTTACTGTGCTTGTAAAAATCTAGAATTTATAATAGTAGCTCTATAAATATCTTTATATATATAGATATAAATATATTCATTTTATTATAGGANTTAATAATTTTGTTCATTACTATGTGTGAAAAAACTTTGATTTAATGAATGAAATTACTAGTTGAATATGCCTTAAACATATTGAAAATAAGTCTTGAAGGTGTGCATGTGTGTGCAGTGCTGGTGGTTGGTAGATAGAGGNCATTTGACTCATTTTTACGCGAAAATTCTATATTTGAGATCCATTTGTTCATAAAACAATTTATTTTTTAAANCTTAAACATATTGAAAATAAGTCTTGAAGGTGTGCATGTGTGTGCAGTGCTGGTGGTTGGTAGATAGAGGTCCTAGCCATGACTTGAAAATAAGAGTTTAGCTCTTAGATCTTATAAAAATTAAGTCTTATTTGTGGAATGTTGAACTCTGTCTTCGAGTGAGATTGAAGTTCAGGCCACAGGAATGAAGAGTTATTACTCATTGTAACAATGATACAATGCTATTAGTGTCTGTAAAATATAATTAATTAAATAAAATAAATTTTATGTTTTATATGAAATATATCTAATAAAATAGTTATATATTTTTTTCGCTCATTTCTATTACATCACTCATTTCTATTAAAAGTTTAATCATATAATATTTACTTAATTGTTGAGAAAAAGTGCCACTTTTTTTATAAAAAAAAAATGGGTAAAAATTAATTTCAAATTAATGTNTCATATAATATTTACTTAATTGTTGAGAAAAAGTGCCACTTTTTTTATAAAAAAAATGGGTAAAAATTAATTTCAAATTAATCTAATTAAAGAAAAAGAAGAAAAAAGTTATTATTTAAGTGAGATTGATTTTTTTTTTTTGTGCTTGAATTTTATATTGCATGATACATTAAGGTATGGGTTACGGATTATAACTTGTAATTATTATATAACATGAAGATATTAGTTTTAATAAAATAAAGTTCATTTGATCAGTTATTATTTCGCATTACTATGATAATATCTATTTATATATAAAAATAAATATTTTTTGAGTGAAAGGGTTTGAGAAATCTTCTCTCTTCAAATACTTATTTTTCAAATTTACCTTCGTCCAATCAAATTATTCTATTTGACTTATTGAACTATTCCCTTCGCCTTTTGAAGTTACTCTCATTATTTTTTTAAACTATTTTAAATTTAAATTTTTACTCATCTTTTTTTCACTTTTTTATATTTAATAAAATTTATTTTAACTCATTAATATGTAATTTTTTAATAATATAAAGGTTAAAAAAAAAGGTGAAACAGGGTGATGGTGGGGAAAGCAAATTTCATGCATGGCGAAGAGTGTCCGCTAATAAGTAATATTATTTTTAAATTTTGAAAAAATAATGGATAGTCCTATTTTTCATAGTAAAAAAACCCTAGAGTTCAAACAAATTTTTGGGAAAAAAATCAAGTTTATTTTTGATAATTTGTTCCAAATTAATTAATAACTCTACCAATCATATTTTTATTCCANGGGGAAAGCAAATTTCATGCATGGCGAAGAGTGTCCGCTAATAAGTAATATTATTTTTAAATTTTGAAAAAATAATGGATAGTCCTATTTTTCATAGTAAAAAAACCCTAGAGTTCAAACAAATTTTTGGGAAAAAATCAAGTTTATTTTTGATAATTTGTTCCAAATTAATTAATAACTCTACCAATCATATTTTTATTCCAATTATATCCTCCCTCATTAAACCATGAATTACAATTTTATTCATAATTTTTTTTGGTTAAACAACAACTTACCACTTTGTTCATAATTTTTTGATAAACTTTAATTCATTTAATATATATAATTTTATATAATATTTTACGACTTAAAAATAAATTTACTNTTTGATAATTTGTTCCAAATTAATTAATAACTCTACCAATCATATTTTTATTCCAATTATATCCTCCCTCATTAAACCATGAATTACAATTTTATTCATAATTTTTTTTGGTTAAACAACAACTTACCACTTTGTTCATAATTTTTTGATAAACTTTAATTCATTTAATATATATAATATTTTACGACTTAAAAATAAATTTACTTTTTATTTTCCCAATTTTATTATGGAAAGAGTTATCTTATCTCACACAACCAAACCATCAATCAATCAAAATGCATAAATCAAGCAAAAGGCGTAATGATTGCCTGGTCAGTCATCAACACCAACTAGGTATGTAATGTTTTCACATTTTCCCAAGTCTTAGCCACCTCCGTTTTCATTGGTCTATGACCTGCCACGTGGAATTGGTCCCACTTCTGCGTTTAATTTTTTATTTTTTTTAAGTTTCCACAACAGAAAAATAATGCCTTTGCATATACAAACGGTTGATTACACTCTATCCGATGTGACTAATTTCATGTGTTTAAATTGATTATTGATATCAACATGGTATCAGAGAGATGGAGCCGCTAATCGAACCTAAAAAATTATTTAAATTTAATTTATTTATAAAATTAGTCGAGGTCAAATAATTTAATTATTTTATACGTAAATAAGTCAAATTTTACAGATCGATTTTTGAATGAATCTAAAAAATTGTTTAAACTTAATTCGTCGTTTATAATATAAGTCGAACTCGAATAAAGTCTTGTACAAATAAAATTCGAGTAGTTCAGTTCAATTATGAACTCTACTTATAAATCCTGGGTTCGTATCTCACCAAATCTTCTCCTTAAAAAAATAAAAATCAAAACAATCAGGTGGATGCACCAAGGGTGACATATGAAGGGGAAGTTTATACAAATATTTATGGTTTAAATTTTTGTAGTAAATTATATTGAATATCTCTAACACAATAATATATTTAGGTGAATTTTTTATTAATCAAAGGTAAATAGAAGCCATTATGGGATTATTGTAAAATACTAGAAAATCTAATATAAACCACCATTTACCAAATTTTGTCATTGTATGTAAAGTTGTCGCATGTATGTTTTTTTTTTAATAATGCAGCACCTAACTGTGCTTTACCCAAAAGAAAAGGGTTTACACGTGAGTTTCATGCAGTATTTAAAGAAGATAAAAACAAAGTGGATATCAAACTTTTTATCTTAAGATTAAAGGTTCGAGTTTTAGAGTCTACATTAAAACTCGATGGTTAATCGTAATATTAGCCTAATTAAATTTATTTCTAAGATAAATAATAGACGCAGTTAGGAGTTTCATGATCTCATCAATGAAGATTTATCAGAATAGTCTTTAGGCACGCTTCTTAACCCCATCAAGGGGAAAAAAAACAAAGTTTCAGAAATTAGACTTTTTCGATCTATATAATAAAATAAGAATATGTTTAAATTTTATTTCAGTCATATTTTTTCCCTCAAAATCATTACCAATTATTTATCTCACTTAACATTTCTTTGTCAGACTCAAATGTCAAATCGTATCACTTATTTCTATTATATATTTAATTATTTATATATTTCTTCTTTAAAAATATCACATCACTTATTTCTATCATATATTTAATTATTTAATATTTGATTAATTTGTGGTTAATATATTTTAAAAAAAAATTAATATAATTGGATCAATTTGTTGGACTCTCAAATTTTATATTTAATCGTGTATTCAGGTACGAATTATGACTAATATATAAATAATGCATCAAGGATAATAATGGTTTACTTCTTGGAATTTGATTGATTTTGGGTCTAGAGATCGATGTGAATTCTAAATTTATTTCAAAATAAAAAGTTATTATTTTAGAATCAGCGACTTGAATTATCTTCAATTATTTAGCTACACGTAATAACATGTGTTATGTTAAATCATACACTAATTTGTTTTGACCTTTTGTGAAGTAACGTCAAGGATAGGCTATTCTGTCGGAGGTCAATTATCATATTATTATTATAATAATAGTTAAATTTAAACTATAAATTTAATTAGAGTTATTTATAGTGAGTGACCATGAAAATAATAAAATAATATTAATCAAGATAATTAATTTTTACACGCATTATGTTGTGATTGAACAAANGACCTTTTGTGAAGTAACGTCAAGGATAGGCTATTCTGTCGGAGGTCAATTATCATATTATTATTATAATAATAGTTAAATTTAAACTATAAATTTAATTAGAGTTATTTATAGTGAGTGACCATGAAAATAATAAAATAATATTAATCAAGATAATTAATTTTTACACGCATTATGTTGTGGTTGAACAAAGAGAAGATATTAAAGGCAAGGATATTGCTATTCTTGTCGATACTATAAAAAATTTATTAATTTTTAATTGATTTAAGTTATTTTGGGTTATGGGTTTTTATATATTTATAACAAATACTCACTTTGTTTTTCATTCTCCACCCCCTCCGCTGCACACACACACACACACACACACACACACAAAAGAGAGAGAGAGAGAGAGAGAGAGAGAGAGAGAGAGAGANGGCAAGGATATTGCTATTCTTGTCGATACTATAAAAAATTTATTAATTTTTAATTGATTTAAGTTATTTTGGGTTATGGGTTTTTATATATTTATAACAAATACTCACGTTGTTTTTCATTCTCCACCCCCTCCGCTGCACACACACACACACACAAGAGAGAGAGAGAGAGAGAGAGATCAATGGAGGATCATCACGAGACAAAATCAAGGTTCAAGAGAATTTGTGTTTTCTGTGGCAGCAGTTCAGGGAAGAAAGCTAGCTACCAAGAAGCTGCTGTGGAGTTGGGGAAAGAACTGGTAACAATGAACCTCTCTCTCTCTCTCTCTCTCTCTCTCTCTCTCTCTCTCTGTGAACCGGAAGTTGTTTTTTTTCATGGAAAGTGATGAATTCTAAACCTATTTTGATATTGGAACTACTTTAATTTCTATTGCATTTCATTTTCGGCTTAAAATCCAAATGTTTTGTTTACCAACTTGCAGTTCTATAAGAGTCCATTCATTGATTTCTGGGTTTCAATCAGTTTCTTTTTGTCTTTTTTTTTTTGGGTCAGGGTTTCAATCAGTTTCTACTTCCTTCTTTTCATGGAAACATAATGAAAAGGTTTCCTTTCGTGGTTCATTTTCTGGAGAAGTTGTTGATAAATGCTGTCTTATTTTCTCTTTTGTTCATTGAAGTCCTTTCTGTTACATGAAGTTATTTTCCATTGTTTTCTTTCCACTTTCTTCCTTAACAAACAAGGCTTTCAAGGTGGGCAAATGATTGTTAGGTGGATCAGAACGGGAAGGTTTTAGGGTTTATTGGTTTTGTTTAGCATGAGAGAGAAAGAGATTGCTAATGCTAGCTGTATCCTGCCTGTCCGTTGAGCAGCCTTCTTGCATGATCTTAGTTTTTTGGGGTGTTTTAAAAAATTTCCTGCCTTTCAATGGGGAACCAAACGTGCCACCTTGGTATCATGACTCCTTGAACCCTGTTCTATTCTTGGGCACCCTCCATTGGACCATCACCAAACCTCCCATGATTTTTCTTTATGGGCTTCAATGAAATATACCTATTTTATATTGCTAATGGTACATTTTTTTTTCATATTTAAAGGGTTCTTCTAATTCTTATTTAGGGTTATTGTTATGAATGTACAAGTACAACACTATATTTTACCATGGATGATGGGTTTTTGTGAAATGTGATAAGTGGGTTTCTGACACGTGTTAAGGGGTTTTGGTTTTTCGATGTTCGTTGAAGGTGGAGAGAAGGATTGATTTGGTCTATGGAGGTGGCAGCGTGGGTCTGATGGGTCTTATTTCTCAGGCTGTTCATGATGGTGGGCGCCATGTTCTAGGGTATGTTTGCTATTTCTCTCTCTCTCTCCGATACACCCACACACACAAGTTCTCATGTTTGAATATCAAAATGTCAAGTAAAAGAGGGGAAGTTTNTTTCTCTCTCTCTCTCCGATACACCCACACACACAAGTTCTCATGTTTGAATATCAATATGTCAAGTAAAAGAGGGGAAGTTTCAGAAGACAAGCATCATTTTACCTCATAATAATCGATCATCTTTCTTTTGGTTCTTTTATGTTCTAATTTTGGGTCCAATCATGATATGGAAATGTAATTTTTCGCGATTATATTTTTACTTTTTCATCCAATAAAAATAAGACATGGTAGACTCAAAATTTTATATTATCCTCTAGAGGNTTCAGAAGACAAGCATCATTTTACCTCATAATAATCGATCATCTTTCTTTTGGTTCGTTTATGTTCTAATTTTGGGTCCAATCATGATATGGAAATGTAATTTTTCGCGATTATATTTTTACTTTTTCATCCAATTAAAATAAAACATGGTAGACTCAAAATTTTATATTATCCTCTAGAGGCCATGCAAGTCTCCCTAATATCTATGAAAGGGGGTTCTCAAAAAGCCAGAGGACGACATCATGGGATCAAATGCTGGCTCCGGATGATGAATCTGTCTCTGCATTTCTTTTTCTTGGTGATACTGAAAGGTCATTTTATGGACAACAGTTGGTCTTCCGATCAGAGAAAACATGATTCCAACACGTGAAAAGCATGTGTATCTGTTCTTCGGTGAATCGTTAAAGTGTCCCTTTAAGTGGTTTGGACCTTTTTGGACAGCTTTGATTAGCAAAACAGAGTGAATTTCCTTTTGGTCTGTGCTATGTCAGCCCACACTAGAACTTGTAGTTAGCAAAGGAGTGAAGGGAAAGGCTTGTTAGAAAGTATATAACCTTTTAGGCAGTGATGGAAGGGTACAGCTCCTATGCTGTATAGCACTACACTTGTTCTCAAACAAAACGACCTTGTTTTATTTCCAATATTTTCATATTGGGACTATTACTAATAATGTCAATGGTGTTGTTTTGCAGGGTAATTCCAAGGACACTCATGCCTAGAGAGGTATAATCAGAAACTTCAAATCAAACCATTCCTTTGCTTCTAATGGTTTGGTTGAATGCTTTCTCGAGGGATAATTCTTTATGCATTAAATTTGTGTACCAAAAGTTGCACAAAATTAACTATAGTTGTTGAAATAACGATAAAATCTACTAATTCAACAAATACAAATAATTTTGAAAATGGGGAAATTTCTTGGTTTGTTCTCAGTGAGTAGACACTCGTTTATGTCGCTCATACTCCTAATTCTGAGTAGAATTAAGAGCAAAGTTAGGAGTATGAACCGATTACTCAACTTATACACTATTTAAATTAGGATTTGCGTTTCGTTAAGGACTTAAAATCTACATTAAATACTTGAATACGATTTATCCAAACAATTTAAGTCTTATCCTACCGCCACCCAAAAAATTTCAAACCTTCCTCTCACTGAAAGTTCGAGGCTCTGACCAACCGAGCTACCTGAGTTGGTTGAGTACAAATAATTTGTTGCAAGTGTTCATGGATATATTTTTATGCACGTACCATTACTCTTTCTGTTAAGAATGTGACAAAGGCATGATCCCTTGGACAAATAAAAGCTGAATTGGTCTTTATTGTGATGGGACATATTGTCAATAGCTGCATTTACTCAAACCTTTTTTTTTTTTTTTATCTTTTATCCATTCCTTTCTTTTTCTACCTTTTTCAAATCTCACTATCGTATTTATCTTTGTTTGCTGGTGGTGTTCATATGTTCCAACAGATAACTGGTGAGACTATTGGAGAAGTGAGAACCGTATCTGACATGCACCAAAGAAAGGCAGAAATGGCCCGTCAAGCCGATGCCTTCATTGCCCTTCCTGGTATATAAAATCATACCTTTTTTTTTTTTTTTGGGCAAAAAATGATGGCATTTTCTTTTTTAATAGCTAAATAATTTTATTCAAAGAAAATATTACAAGCTCAAAATACACCCAAGTGGGTGCACACCCTAATGGGGACACGGGATTTTTCTCCGGCGAGTAGCTCAACACCCCCTTAATCTGAAAGTAATAATACTTAAAAATCCAATGCTAGGAACATATTGCACTCTCAACCCGAGATGTAACACAACATCTCTAGTTACAATTGCAATATGGTTGTTAGGGGTAGAAATCGCACATTCGTATCTGTAATATGGCTGTTAGGGGTAAAAATCGCGCGTTCGGATCTCATCCCTGAACTCAAGGAATCTGGCTGACCTGGACTCCTTCATAGGGCAATCCGGTAGCCTTTACCTCTCAGTGCCCGTGCGGAGCTTCGTCCCACATCGATTGAGAGTCGTCTCCCGCACCCCCTTATAAGCCTGAGCCCCTTAGGGACGACTTTCAGTCGATGTGGGACAAAGTTTCGCACGGGCACTGAGAGGTAAAGGCTATTGGATTGCCCTAAGAAAAGGTCCAGGTCAGCCAGAATCCTTGAGTTCAGGGATGAGATCCGAACGCGCGATTTCTACCCCTAACAAAAAGGCGCCTTTTGATGGACAGGATTCCCTCCTTCCGAACGGATTTCGGCTGACGATGGGTACCCATTAGCACTTGATCAAGTGGCTAGTGGGTACTCATCCCTAAGGAGCTCAGGCTTATATGGCAGGGGGAGAAGACTTTCAGTCGATGTGAGACGTAACTTTGCACGGACACTGAGAGGTAAAGGCTATTGGGGGGTCGCCCAAGGGGTTAACCCAGGTCAGCCAAAATCCTTGAGTTGTACAAGAATTTGTACCAACAATGGCCATACAATAAAATGATCGCAATTTCTTAGTTGTGCACAAAGCAAACTTTGTCACGTGTATGACTTTTGAAATTATTGATGCATTATCAATATGTTGAATAATGTCTGAATTTCAGGTGGTTATGGAACCCTTGAGGAACTGCTGGAAGTCATCACATGGGCCCAGCTTGGAATCCACAGTAAACCCGTAAGAGCTATTGTCCTTTTGTTTCATTGTCTAGGTCAGAAAAAAGGTTTTTCAAATTGGCCTTATCTACAACTATAAAGGTAGAATGTCATGGAAATTTTGCAATATTAATAAAAATTTGTGGAAATAACTAACACGTTAGTTTTAACAGAAAATTTCCACCAATGTTCAAGAAAATCAAGTTATTATGTGCGTAATTCCGATACCTTTCTTGGCCTTTAGGCTTAAAGATCAAAAGAGTGATATTTGATGTTAAACATGTTCTTGTGCAAGAGTCCTACTGTGCCATTTGATATCCTTTTTTACCAGATTCTCTATACAATGGTTTTGAAAAGAACCTGAAGGATGCTTATGTTTCAACCCATAAAATGCTTTTGTTCAATTGTTTTCAGTGTTTACCTTTGCCATTTCAACCTTTGAACATCACCTTTACCATGTCGAGAAGCAGGAAAGTTGTTCTGTGCTAGAAATCATTCCAACCTCTTTCAATCAGTCGGTATCAAAGGATCGAAAGAGATCTGGTTAATCAATTGGTCGAGAATAGGGTTCCATTGTACAACCAGGAATCTTTCCGTTCCTAGGAAATTCTCTCTTTTTCTAATAGATAAATATAATTCGACCCGTAGAAAGATAGACACTAGAGTTTTCAATTTTTCTAAAGGAAAGAGAGATATAACAAAGAAGGGGAAAAAAAAGGAATAGTAGAATCAATGCATGTTGTACTTGTTTTGGCTTTACATGTAAAGATGGTAGAAGATTTGTTATTTCAATCATTGTCATTCTACATGATCTGAAGTTACATTGGAGGATCTTCATTTGAAAGGGGAAAAGTTCTTAGGATTAGAAAAATGGAAATCTTAGGTCAAAAGAAGGTGTCTGTGCTTGTTTTTGGTCACGAATTCTTGGGTTTTGAATATTCACTAAACTAATCACATAATTATGCAGGTGGGTCTTCTAAATGTTGAGGGTTACTATAATTCCTTGCTGTCGTTCATTGACAAGGCCGTCGATGAAGGTTTTGTCTCACCCACTGCACGTCGCATCATCGTGTCTGCTCCGACAGCCAAGCAGTTGGTCATGGAACTTGAGGTACATAACTTTGTTCAATAAATAACCAGTATTATAAATCAAGTTGGGAATAATATCTTTGAATAATCTGAAGTGCATTTTGAACCTGTTTTGTAGTGAATTAAGTACTCAATGTCTTCATTAGTTCCTTTCTTAAATATAGATGTTAGACCCACATGAAACTTAAATAAATGATCTCTTGAATGAGACTGATTAGTCAAGAATTTTGGGGCCACTGTAAAGCAAATGTGTTTTTTTTTTTGCCATAGACTATCTACTGATGACTGGCATTGGATTTGTGTGTATAAATAACTCTAAATTTATTGTGTATGACTCTCTGTCATGTATGTATCTGTGTCGTGTGAATCAGGAATACATCCCAGAGAGCGATGAAGTCACAGCCAAATTGATATGGGATCAAGTGGAGAGAATAAATTATGTGCCTGAACCGGAAGTTCCTACGTAACATGTGGCTCGAAAAATTGCAAACTTTTGGGGGTTTAGGATATGCTCCGTATATAAATTATATATATACGGTCTTACACCGTAGATTCTAGCACAGAAACTGTTTAATTTTTTTGGGAAATCACCCTCCCAATGACCCCAGGTTTCATGAACCTGTCTTTGGGGGTGGGTTGGTGGGGAGGGGAGGGGAGAAAATGCAACTCTTTTTGTGGAACCATGAAGGAATCCCATTTTGTCCAAGCTTATTACTAGTTTTTACATCTAGTTTTTACTCATGTTCAAAAGACCCAAACTACTAAGGCAGTGCTTGTAGTTCTAAAAGTCCATACAAAACAAAATTTTGATGATTTGGACTCTTGAAGATACTATCTTTGCATCTATGAAAAAAGTATACGGAAGAGTTTATATAGTATAAGAGAGTATCCGGTGTTAATAACATTATGATAAAAAAGATTTCTAAAGGGTGCGGTTTTTATATAATTAATGCTACAATAATGTTGGAGCTTAATGCTTCAGATGATACACATGATGATGTAAAAGAATGTAGAGAAAATAGTGTTTTTGTGGTAATGTGGTGTCTTAAGGTTACATTGGACCCACTCCCGGAAAGTAAAATTTAGATATTTATTATCACTTATTAACCACAAATAGATAACGGGACGGGACCTAGAAAAACGTGTGAGAGTCAAATTTAAGTCGTTTCTGAGCTCCATTACTCATTTTTTAAAATTTTTTATTTTTTAGATTTTTGAAAATCTTATGTGATAGTCTATATTCTAAATTATTGAATTTTTGTTGGTTTTAATTATGTAAACTCTTGGTATATTCCTATTGATCCCTTCTTCGGTCCTAATTTACGTATAACTAAGATTACTCATCTGGTTTGGTAATTACCTCTAATCACTGCATTGTCTATACCCATCTTGATTTATATATAACTAGATTAGGATTAATGTTTAAGCTTAGCTAATTCTCCCTAACCACGCACTATTTCCATCCCTTCTAATTAAGATATTTTCTTAATTGACTAACAACTTTTTATAGTTGGGAGTTTGAATTACTATTAAAACACGGGAAAGTCACTCTAAGATATTGGAAAAAAAAAAATCTGTACTAGTATGATTATCACTTTTAACGAGAAAGTTATAATTTTTACAAAAGAAATTATAATTGTTCAAGAGAAGGTCATGATCGATTACAGATACCTATAATCGATTTTAGATACTCATGATCGATCATCAAATTTTGGTATCGATTCTAATTTTTTTATGATCGATTATGTTCTTTAAAATTGTAATTTATAACTCAAAAAGTTAAAATTTTACCTTAAAAAATTATAAATTTTAGCACCAACACCGTATCCTTTCCCGTCAATCACATAACTAATATTTTAACTATAGAGATTAATCTACTTAAGCAGTCAGCATAAATTTTATGTTTGTTGCCCGTGCATAACAGGGTTATCACTAGTAAGATCCTATGACGATGAAGCAAGTACACATTTCACTGGTCATCGAATCTGATGATGGGTCCAGAGCAACGGCAGTGGTAACAAGGTGGGCCAGGCTTGTTTGCCACCGTCCATCTAGTAGAAGTTCTTTTTGGCTTCCTCTTTTGACTTCTCATACAGATCAGACAAAAGACAACGACTGTGTCTTGTTTTGGAGCAATGAGCATTGCCCGTGATGTAGGTAGGACTTCTATCCTATATTTTGTATGGGTACATTACTATAATAGGAAGCCACCATACCAAAAAAATAAATAATATCGATAAATAATTTTTTAGTATCACAATTAAACAAGATATTTACTGATAATTTAATTTACAAAGAGTCTTTTACTTGTAACATGACAACTCGGTCCATATCCGATGTGGGATTTTTCCCTAGTACGTGAGAATCGGGAAAAACACAATTATACTATACCAGTTATCATGCCCATATTTAATGGATAAAGTGGAACCCATTTTTTATTGTAGAGGTAATAATGTATTTCTCGACTGAATAGTTATAAATTTTATTGGAGTCCACTTGTAGACTTATTTGTTTATTAGTGTACGATTACACCACGTAATACTACTAACGTAATGTGACCGTTACGCTCAATATTTTTTCCCTGGTGAGACAGATATTGTAGAGTTCCATGACTTTTTTAATACCTTAATTACACTTTTCACCCAATTAATAAGTGTCAAGTTTATATTTTATTTAATAATTTTTATTACTTTATTATTTATTATTAATCAATATTTATAGACACTCAATTTAAAATTAATGATTGAAATCAATAGTAATTGAGATTAATAGAAGTATCATACTAAAGTTAATATTGTAGTCTTACCCTATACCCAATAGGAGAAGTCTACGGGAAAAAAAAAATTATATATATATATATATATATATATATATATATATTTCGGGATTGTACTTTCATTATAAAGTTTATGATTTTTTTTTTATATAATTTTTATGATTATTTGCAATTGATCCTAAAAGTTATAACTCAATTCAAGCTTCAAACGCTGTAATATAACCCCAAAAAAACATAATTATTTTTGTTTTAAAAAAACCTAAATATTTATATCAAAATCCACAAAAATTGTAAAACTTGGCGTTACAGTAGAATGAGGAGATGGACCCCAGTAACGAATAACAATCCACAATATAAATAGACAGGTCCCATATTTTTGCCTTTTTCTTCTTCTTATTTCTTATTAATAAAAAAATGATAAAGAGCCTTTAGATCTTTTGTTTTTTGCCGGGGGGGTTAAAAAAAAAGATTTTAGATTTGTTGGCCACATTGTCATTGACTACTACTTCATTCATTGCATGAAGTTATAGCAAATCGAAAAAGGTGACACGCAGCTCACATGTACACTATACCATGTGAATTGAACGCATTATTATATACTGACATCGTTGAGTTTACTCGGTTTTATTCAGTGGAATAGTATACATGTGAGTCAGATATCATCTTTTTCGCTTTTCTATATAGTATATATGTACGAAGGAACGGAGTAATAATCATAAACATTTTTTTTACACCTAAAATTAAATTACAAATATAAAAGAGAGAGAAATTTAAGAACCGTTTATAGTAAGAGAGAGTGAACAGTGACAATAGTGGTAGAAGACTGTGATAGTTGTAGCGGACAACGACAATTGTGGTGGTGGTGGCAACTGTGGATGGCAACGATGATGACAATAGTGAATTTTAGGTGACATTGATGGTAGTGACAATCATAAGTAACAGTAGTGGTATTGGTGATGATGATTGGTAGCGGTGGTGGTGGATTATGGTGATGAGTGACGACGATAAGTACTTGTGGGCGACGATGATAGTGGGTCGCGGTAGGTGGCGATAGGGGTGAGTGGCAATAGGAGTGGGTGACGACGATGGTGATGATAAACGTGGTGGGGTAGTGACAATGGTGGACGATGAGGGGTGGTGATATGTTGTGACAATGGGTGATGGTGAATTGTGGTAATGGATGGAGGTGGGCAACAATGGGGGTGATGGCGGTGGACGATGGTAACAGTGGGATGATAATAGTTGTGGTAATAAATATAAGAATGAGATAATGATGGTGATGGTGATGGTTGTAGACGAAGATAGTAGCAATCAATGGTAATTAGTGACGATGATGGTAATGGGTGATGGCAATGGGGGTGATGGTAATTGTGGCAAAGGCGATGGTGGAGGGATAGTAGCGATGATGGTATTGGGGCGATAGTTATGATGGTAGTAGTGGTGGTGGGGTAACAACAACAGTTATAGTGGTGAAATATTTTATAGAGAAATAATTTAAAGTAGATTTTTTTTTTTTTACTTATTTAAAAGTAATTAAATAAATTGTTCCAAAATAGAATACTTATGAAAAATCATAAGTCAAAACATTTTCAAAAGTAACCCCCAAACAAATCTTTGGGGATCTATTTTTTCTATTGAATTTGGCGAATTAATATTAACCATCGGATTAAATTTAAAATAAAATTTTAAACAATCTCAACTACAAAAAATAAAAATTATTTTTCATGTTGTACTTTATTTTATATATATATATATATATATATTGGAGTGTGTGTAACTATGTGTTATTGAGTGTTTGTGTTTGGTTTGTAAAATTTAGGAGGAAAAATGTATGATGGATGTATGAAATTTGGAGGAAATTATACACCCCATAAATTCAAAAACCTAGCTATCTTATTATATAAATATAATGATACAATATGTATCTATGCTTTTTCGATCCTTCCACTTTTCTATCCTACCAAACACAAAAATCACAAAAAACAGAAGGAAAGATTCCTCCTTTGAATGATAGAAAATATATCACTCCCATAAGTGAACTTTTATTGAGCCTCTTCTGGGATTCAAGCTCAAGAAAGCTGGTTTTCATGGATTTAGGATGCTCAAAATAAAATANCACTTTTCTATCCTACCAAACACAAAAATCACAAAAAACAGAAGGAAAGATTCCTCATTTGAATGATAGAAAATATATCACTCCCATAAGTGAACTTTTATTTGAGCCTCTTCTGGGATTCAAGCTCAAGAAAGCTGGTTTTCATGGATTTAGGATACTCAAAATAAAAAAAAAATATGGGTTTAAATCAACGATTATTTAATATCGAGTAGCTTGGATCACCTCACTACACTATATGTGACAGTTTATTTTATTTTTTTTCAACATAGAATTCACATGGAAAATCTCCCACTAAATGAATGCTAGCTAGACTGATTTGGATTATAAACAGTAAATGCAACTTATAGTGAGTTCAGAATTTTGTTGCTTAATGCCTTCTAATCAAAGACATTTAGCAGAAGAAATGAAAAGGTTATGTTTGCTTTTGCTGCATTAGCAAATTTTAAGCATAGGGTACATAATGTTCAACTCATTTATTCCCAGAAGCTGAAGCTCAAAACTCTTTAGATAAGAATGGCAAAATGTTACACGAAAACAAAACTCTCTACGTACCTCTATAAATACAAATAGAGGCTTCATATAGCCGAGAAGTATTCCTTGCTGAGCTTAGGATCTGGCTTCATAGACTTCTCCCCAGGTTTCCATCCCGCTGGGCATACCTCATCCGGGTTCTCTTGTACATATTGCAAGGCCTACAAGAACAACATAGAAAAAAGGGGCACAAGAACCCAATTAATCAATGCCAAACAAATCAATATTGTAAAGGCCACGAAAGTCCAAATTCTGTCCAACGTTCATTGAATATAATTACCTGGAGGGTTCTCATTGTCTCATCAACACTGCGGCCAATTGCAAGATTGTTAATGGTGGAGTGTTGAATGACTCCTTCCTTGTCAATAATGAAAAGTCCCCTCAATGCAACTCCCTAACATATGGACACCAACATTCAGATGAAATGGGAATTCGATTATAATGGCACCAATGGTGTAATAATGATGACAAAAGTTAACAAAAAGGGAAAAGCATTAATTACATCATTTTGCGTTGGAGAATCTAACTACCATAGCAGCAAACATTGCAATCCCTTAGTCACTTAAAAATGATTAGCCAGACAAAATAATCAAATTTTAAGACATAGTCCAAAGTGAATTTTTTTGTTGGATGGCTTTTCATGTACATGCATGCCTAGGTGCACACTATTGTATAGTTATGTGAGTCTCCCTGCTTCTGTAGCCTGTTTATTTAAGAACATGTCATGTCGGTTCAGGCATTCAGCAATCCCTATCATATTCAATGTCTTGTCTGTCCATGCAGTATAGAAAGCAAGCTCGGCTGTATAAAAACAATACCACGGCCAAAAATCAAGTGAACGAGTAATACTTTCTCAGCGTACACACACACACACAAAAAGCAAGAGAAGGAAAAACAATTTCTCTTTTACAGAAACCACCAGAGTTGTCCTCGAAGCTGATGTGTCCTCAAATAACAAGATCTTCATTAAATTATCTGTATTAATTATTCATAATAGTTAATTTACACAAATAGTTTCTTGGAGTTGATATCGAGACTCGTTAAAAATTTCTTGCTATCAATGCAGTCTTTCATCTTTTGCCATCATAAAACCTTCTTCATACCCCTTATGGACATGCAGTCTCAAATGGTCAGGGTTATAGATCTTTCTTGCATACACTTAAAATATTTGTCAACCCATCCCTGCAAAATCTTCAACAAGTCTAACTAGCACTAATCCTCAACCATATTAAGAACTTGGTTAAACCCAGAGTTGCAAAAATTGTTTTAAAAAAAATCAAACATTATTATAGGATCAAAAATGCCAAGCAATCAGTCTTAATATAGCAAAATATAAAAACCTAGTTCATCTTGTTTTCCTGATACAAGTGACTGGAAAAATGGAAATTCGAAGGCATTAATTGGGGTCAGCTGATGACCAGACTAAACCGAATAGCATCATCTAGAGATCGTGCCACTACCACTAATCCATCATAACTCTCAAAACTAAAATAAGTAGCTGCATGAAATATCAGTAATCAAAAAAATAACACTGATCATACCAAATCACAAATAAGGATAAAAGAAGTAAATAAAGAAATACAGCATACCTGATCTGGTATTAGTACACCATAAGATTTTGAAATAGATTTTGTCACATCTGAAACCAATGGATACTTTAAATCACCAAGCCCCCCAGACTTCCTATCTGTTTGGACCCATGCAAGGTGGGAGAACTGCATGACCAATAAACATCAAAATAATCACAATTGACAAAGACGTTTGAATTTCCAACATGAAGTAACCAAAGTATAATATTGACATTGTTTATGAAAAGCTACACATAATCAAACCAACCAGACACGTAGATCAAAGCCCATCAAGATTTGTGCATTTAAATTTCAGACGAAGATTAAAACAATAAGCTGATAATTACTAGCAGCAACCCTCCATTACCAAAAATGTTCCTCTGTTCTCACGTGAAATGAGCATAATTAGTTAACTTTACAAATCATAGTGGAGTTTCTCAACCATTCTTCACTTCTCCATCAAAAAGCCAAAGCCTCCTCATTACAAATTGCAATAAGACCAAATAAATCCTAATCAAGCCACCATCCTAAGTAAGGAAAACCATGTTGACAAAGGAAACCAAACTAACAAGAAACTATGAGGAACAGAGTATAACTACAAGCAAGACATATAGTAGCAATAATAACGACAGTAAGGATAAGTTTCATTTTATCCATATGTTGTTTGGCCAAATTGCAAATTACTTCCGTATGCTTAAAAAAAGTACACATAATCACTTAAGAAATGGAAGAGTTGAAGGAAATGATGATTGTAGTGTGAATAGACAAAAGAACCTTTTTTAATTTTTTATAATTCTTTCAACCTAATGTATCTCTCTAGAACAAATTCATCACTGTTGAAGGGTGATTAGGGTCATTACCCAATCTTGTCTCTGCTAATGGGGGGTGTTGGGCAGCATTATTGCACAAACTGACTACCCTCATATTGTATTTGAAGCCTTAACAAATCCATCTCTCTTTCAACATATAATTTCCCAAAAAACCTGAAGGAGAAAGTATTTTTCAAAAGAAAGTAAGAAAAACTAACTGTTACAAACTAGTCTACAATCTCAAGGTGGCTAAGTGCATGTTTCCACAGCATGGAAGTTGTGTAAGTTGGCAAAACCACAGGGGCTTACAAGCATTGTTAGTCGAATAATGATTGATGCCAGCAAGCACTTTCCAATTGTACAATATCAGTAAAGAAAAGCAACGTGTTGAACAAGACAAAAGAATACAAGTGAACCAACTTTCTATGCCATCTAGGACTAAATTTCTTAGTTGCCCAAATCTCCAAATTCAAGGANTTGAACAAGACAAAAGAATACAAGTGAACCAACTTTCTATGCCATCTAGGACTAAATTTCTTAGTTGCCCAAGTCTCCAAATTCAAGGAAAAAAAAAAAAAGGAGACCCCTAGCTCAATTATGTTGTGATAGTGAGAAAGTTACAACAGTGCAGCAAATCAACAAACCTTATGTAAAATTTCATACACGAAGGTGGATAAAGGTAGACCACATAGACCAAAGATTGTTTTCAATAACAAAAACTTAGGTTCTTTTTGGATTGCATCTCAAAAAAATAATATCCAAAAATAGTTTTGGTAAAAGTTTTAGGAAAGTGGTGTTTTGGTGTTTATGTATCGCTGAACTTGTTTGGTTATATGATTATAAAAAACAGTTTTACGGAACAATAAAACCTAATTGGGCAGTAACTCAAAAAACAATGAAAACAGAGATGGTGTTTGGATTGGCTGTTTCATATAAAAAAATTTCAATATAATAAACTTGAAGCACTTTTACGAAATACATCTTAAAATTTTCAAATTTCAAGTACTTTTACGAAATATTGATCCATGAAAAAGGGATGTTACTCAATTGCTCAAATTAAACCATGTAAATGGCCAAACCTGATGTATAGGAGCTAACTAAACGTCAATGAACAAAGAAAATAGAGTGGACTAAACGCAATGGATCTGGCATAAATCCTAAAGTAGTAAATAGAGGATCGACTTATGGTGTGACATGGGTTTGGTTTGAAAGGTGACTATTGTGAAAGGTGACAAAAGAGGAAGAAATCAACAAAATGCTTATCATGCTCATGCATATCTGTTATAGATTTGAAGGTCCCAAACATCAGATCTAGAGCAAGAAAAAAAAAAGGATTAACGAAATGGTCGGAGTTTCTATAGCTTCGCATTGAACAGCCAATGTTCTTCTCCCGAAACTTTTGTCGAGCTATTATAAGCCAGATCTAAAGAAAAAAGCAAACCTACAATATATCAAGGCAAAAAGAAATACCCACATCTAGCAGATCTATCGTTTACCTGGAGACATTTGATAACTCCTTTGAGTCACTGGAGATTGATTGCTCTCAATCTAGGAGCTCTCATTCCTAGTCTTTCCCCTTGAAGTGCACCGGAGGGTTGGAGGCAACGGAGAGAAAGAGATAGTCTCTGTGTGTNTTGATTGCTCTCAATCTAGGAGCTCTCATTCCTAGTCTTTCCCCTTGAAGTGCACCGGAGGGTTGGAGGCAACGGAGAGAAAGAGATAGTCTGTGTGTGTGTGATGAAGTGCAAAGAGAGTGTTGGGGAGAGGAAAAAAACAAAGTGGCTTTTATATTGGTCCAATAAGTATATAGTGTTTTCATCCTCGTATTTTCAAAGTTAGACCTGCTCTCAAAAAACACAGTTTAATTCCCACTTTTTTTTTGGGGGGGGGAAATTGGAGAACAAACAACCTAGCCAAATAGGTTTTCTCTTATTTTTAGTAATTTGAGAACGGAAAACTATTTTACAAACACAATCCAAACACCCCCTTAGATATTCCCTTCCTCTAAAGTTGCCAAAAAAAAAAAAAAAAACAATTGTAGCTTGTTGTAAAGGGTGTTCTTCTAGAATTCTACATGTGTCATAAAAATGAGCAGCCCAATGTACGAGGCTTTCACCACCACCACGATGCCTTAAGAGGGATACATGTGTGCAGCCTTTCCCCAGTACGCAAAAAGGCTATTTTTGGGACTCGATGTCTTGGCACTCGGGTAATATAAATAAGCAACCTTATCACTTCACCAAGGCTCACCCTCAAAACTTCTATTTTGTTGACAGTGCACGGTGCAACCATAGATATAAGAGAGGGGAAGGGAGGGAAGGATAAGTGTGGATAGATACCAAATCTCCAAGCTTACATAGCAAGTTAACTATATAACTACGACTAAATTAAACTATCCTTATAAGAGGAAATGGTGGACATAATAGTGTTGATATAGAGACAAAACTGGAAACTAAAACAATACCTTAATATAATAGTATGACTAAAGCAATGACCCACGCTCATCCATCTAAGCGATCAATAGTGGGTTTAAGTCTGAGAATCGGCTTATTTAACGAGTAAGAAGCATTGCCTACCACTTGTTTCTCTCACACCCTTGTATCTTTTATTTATCACTAAACCACAAGTTCTTAGCTTGAGCCGAATCTCCAGCCACCCATCAACAGGAAAGTTGCAAGGTTTAAGTACTGATTGACACACAGCTACGAGTGTACTATAGATTTTGGGTTTTGAGTAGTGGGAAGGTGTGAGAGCATGACCAAACACGAGGCAATATAACATACACTGTGCATAGCGCAAGACTAAATTCAATACAATAAAACCTACAACTTTTGAAGGTTGCAAATTTTGACAGGTTTAATACAGTAAAACTGCTCCAAAAGAAGAAAAAAAATGTATATTATTCAACTTCTGCTCAGCCAATGGGAACCATTGATGACTAGCATTAGCATTTGGGCTTCCTTTGTTGGATGGATGCACAATAGAAGAATGTACAGTGCCAGTGAACAATTTAACATAGATGAATGATGCATCCACCATTACTCCCTCAGAAACTAAGCTAACTTTACAATGAATTTAACAACATGCAAATATATAAATAAGAGCAAGAATTGAATGACTAAAGATAACTATAGCTTCTAGATGGATTAAATAGAAAAAACACTCACCACACTGTCAATTGAAACACCCAATATTTCGGTGTTTAACTTCTCAAAATCCGCATGACGGTCACTAAAAGCAGTGATCTCTATACAAGAAGAAATCAAAAGAAAAAAAATCAAATAAAACAAGTCAACACAAGAAATATCATCTTCAATAGAGAATCATTCTAATTATGTGAAGATTATAAATAGAAATGTCCGTACATCCAGTGTCAAACTCACCAGTGGGACAGACAAATGTGAAGTCCAACGGGTAGAAAAAGAGAATCACATATTTCTTCCCAATATATTCCGAGATTTTAACCTGCAAGAAATACCTAGCTACTTAGGAATAAAACAACAAGAAACATAATGTATAGGGGTACCAAGGGCTAAGTTCAGGTGCATATTTAAGTCCCCCAACCAACCATGCAAAGTTTTTCCACACAAAGAACTCTTTGTAGATTTCAATTAGCGAAACACAATTAACTATGTTACTATCATATATTATATCTGACCCTACTCCCCCACAACCCCCTCCTTTCTATTGAAATTGCAATGCAATCAATTGATAGACATCCGCGTCATTCAGCAGAGAGCAAGACTCCTGAATTTTGGATAGCATCGGCCTCTGCTCTTCAGACTTTTTATTTCTTCCCAAATGCAGAATGAAAATATTTCTGATCAGAAAAGGATTAGTTCTCTATTTTTCCCACCACTATAGATTTTAATAGCTTTTTAAATTAGTGTGACCATAAAATTTAGAGAACCCCTTATCTAGTACAAGTCAGGACACTGATATAAGTCAATTTTAAACCCTTGATCAAAAAAAATTTAATCCTCATTGTACATAACACTATTCTTCCCTAGATTACCTTGATGAACTCCTGATCAAAAACAGCCTCTGCCTCAAAGTCTGGTGCCAGATTTCCCACCAGGGGGAGTTCACCCTGTGCAGAAAGATATCAGAATGTACATGTCAAAAACTTACGGTGAGTACAGATGATTCACAGCAATACCAAATAATACTATCAGATGGTATTAGAATATAAACTCAGTTATTTTGATTGTTATTCAGATGCAATATTTCAATTTTACCCAATGCAATCTTAATTTTATCGAATTCTTCATCCTTACTTAGCGAGGCTACAAGTAAAAGTTGTTTCTTGTAGCACAAACCTACTAAATAAGTCAAATTACTTACCAATAACAAAGAAAATGGAACACTACATTTTCTATTGTAAGAACGGTGTTCATTCAAGACAACAAACACACATGGGGCACAACAAAAATTATGTGTAACCCACAAATACATGACAAGATACATCTCCAGATGCAAAATACTTTCTATACCTCTTACATTTATAAGGAATGTAGTCACTAAAATACATGTAAAAAATCTGATTTGGAAAACTTGCTAGAGGGGAAAAAACCCAATATACAGGAACTTCAACTAATTTAGAATCAGAAACCAATAAATTACTAGAAGAATTAAAATAGATGGCATAATAATGAGATCAATTATTTTTATTCTTAAAAAATCGCCAATAGCAAAACAGTACACATTTTTCAGAACCCAAAAATTTACTCCTATCAGAATCATAAATAACACCCCAGAAAAAGAAGAAAAAATTCACTACATGGAAGGCAAACACATTAATACAGAAACAGTAATAATTCACCAAAAACCTGAAACTGGAAGGACACACACGCGCGCGCGAAGACATAGGGGGAAAATTACTCACAGCTCTGACGACAAAGTTGCGACGAGATTGAGAAGGGCGAGCCGAGATGGAACGGGGGGCACGGGATCGGAAGGGCTTGCGGAGGCCAATGAAGGAGTTAGGAATGGTTAAGTTTTGAGAGAAGGGTTTTGGAACGGTGGATTTGGGAGAAATGTAAGCCCTAGGGTTCGATGAGAGGAGAGTAGTTGAAGTAGCTGTGCATGCCATTGCTGCACTGTAGGTAAACGAATGCTCGGGAGGCTTGGTGTAGCTCTCTCTCCCTCTTAATATCTTCAGTGCCGTGTTTGTCTATGGAGGAGAAGTTCGTTCGTTGATTGGTGGCAGAGGGGATAAGCAGTCGGGGGTTGCGAAGGACTGGTGTTAGGTAATCTAGGTGGAGTATATTTTCACTTCGGGTGAATCTCGTTTTGTCCGATACAAAAATATTTAGTTGGACTAATGGCAACTAAAACCCTAAAAAATACTCGAATCTCAATTTATACCCTTAAATTTAAAAAATATTAATTTATATTTGAAAGATATAAATTCGTATCAATATGCACCTGAGACTAATTGTTATTCATTTTGTCGTTAAAAAAGTTTGGATTAATTATAAATTATACCTTCAAAATTTAAATATTTCACATTTATGATCTAAAAACAATTTCATCCATTAATGTTTGTTAAATAGTTTGCAATTGTGTCGTGTCGCAACATTTTCGTATCGTGTTTGAGTCAATAAAAAAATATTAAGAAAATTTCAACTACACCCCTTCTAGTTTATCATGTCTTTCGACCATCGTTTCTAACCAAAAAAAAATCATCTAAAATAACAAAATTACTCTTATATAAACTTAAACAATTTTTCTACGTAAAATTCAAGCCGATTAAAATTAATTTTTTTATATTATTAAAATTCTAGTTGATTAAAATTCGTTTTTCAACATATTAAAATTTAAGCCGATTAAAATTCAACTCAAACTGATTAAATTTTAATTTTTTTACGTCTTAAAAATTGAGCCTATTAAAAAAAATTACGTATTATAATTCGAGTCAATTTGAGCTCTACCTGAACTGTTATCGCCAATTAAAATCCGCTCCAAGTTGATTAAAATCTATATATTTTTATTTATTAAAAACTGATTAAAAATAAATTTTAATCGACTCGAATAGAATAAAGTACAAAAGATTTCAAATCTACAAAGATATAAAAAAATGACTTTTATTCTTTTTTGGTTAAGATTGTTTTAAACTACTCTAATTTTGATTAGAGGGTTACTATGAACTCTCCAAATTTTATATTATATACCCTCCCAATCTCCCATGCAAGTTTTGGCGCGTGAATATAAATTAATCAATACATTTTGATTTTTTTTGAACTAATTTTTATGATTAATTGTCATAATTTGTTATTTGATTTTGAATGTGAATATATATATTTATAATTGACAATTTTTTTTTGTTACTTCATACTTTCAGGTACGGGCAATGTTTTGTTTGTACTTGCACATTGTAAAATCGTAGAAAAAAATTGGATTTGTCCCTGGGTAAGTTACTTTTTTTATTCCACCCAGTTTATTTTTCCTTGGTTTTGTATTTTTTTATTTGATTATTTGTATTACATCATATAACAAAACATCAAAACCAAAAAAAAATTCACTAAGTTGTCGATTGAGTTGTACTGGGTAGAATCAATTTTGAAATTTTCACTTTCAAAATTGAATTTTAACTTTAACTTTTTATTTTGAATTGGGTTGGCTTAAAGTTTGTTTTATAACCAAGCTCTTACATTGAAACCAATAAGTTCAAACCACGCTTCTATACAAACAATGATAAATTGAATTATAAGTTAAAAATAGCACCAAAATTCTATTTTTTTGTTAAAATTTTAAAAGTATATTAATAAAAATTTAATTTAAAATATTTAGATATTTTTGAAAGTTCTGAATATGAGCATTATATATTCACACTATTAGATATTAATGTGTAACATCTACAAATTAAAAAACACATCTATTAGATATTTCTATGAAAAAATATAAAATTACCTAATCAATGCATGCCAATGAAAATGTCCTAGAAGGATTTTAGAGATAGTAAGGACCTATAAATACCCCACTAGGGATGTCAATCGATTTAAAAATAAAATAAAACACTTACTTATCATTTAAAATATATGAGTTATTATTTACGATAAAAAATCTCACATATACAATAAAGTACAAAGAATTTCAAATTTCAATGGACATAAAGAATAATTTTTATTTTTCGCGATTAAGATTATTTTAAACTACTCTAATTTCTATTTGAATGTTACTATGAACACCCCAAATTTTATATTATATGTCCTCCCAAACTCCCATGCAAGTTTTGGGCGTAAATATAAATTAATTAATGTATTTTTTTAACTAATTTCTATGATTAATTGTTATAATTTGTGGTTAGTTTTGATGTATAAATATAAATGATAATTTTTTTTATTACTTTGTACCTTCAAACACGAATAATGTTTTCTTTGTTCTTGCTCAACGTGAAATCATCGAGGAGGATCAATGGATTTGTCGCTAGGTAAGTTCTTTTTTTAANTTTGTACCTTCAAACACGAATAATGTTTTCTTTGTTCTTGCTCAACGTGAAATCATTGAGGATCAATGGATTTGTCGCTAGGTAAGTTCTTTTTTTAACTCCACCCAATTCACTTTTCCTTGGTTTTGTATTTTTTATTTGATTATTTGTGATATATCACACTATATATCATCAAAAAAAAAAAATTAACTGGGTTGTTGGTNTAAGTTCTTTTTTTTACTCCACCCAATTCACTTTTCCTTGGTTTTGTATTTTTTATTTGATTATTTGTGATATATCACACTATATATCATCAAAAAAAAAAAAAATTAACTGGGTTGTTGATTTGATTGGACGAGTACAATCAGTTTTGAAAATTTCACATTCCAAATTAAATTTTAGTTTTAATTTTTTATTTTAAAATAGGTGGGTTTAAAGTGTGTTTTACAATCAAACTACTACATTGAAAACAATCAAAATGAAATTAATTTGAAATATAAGTTTAAAACAACACCAATATGACATTTTTTTCATTAAGATTCTAAAAATATATTAATAAAAGTTTAATATAAGATATCTACATGCTTTGGAAAGATTTTAAAATGAGCGTCATATATTTGCAAGATCCACTCTATACCAAAAAAAAATATAGGATAAATTTCACCAACATCCTCTCGAGATTGACCTAATTGCAGGGATACCCCTTATAATTTTTGAAATATCATTGTCACCCCTTGTCAGATTATGTCTGCCTGTGATTTTACCGAATTACTCTTCAAGACTTCAACCCCCAATGGTGTCTAAAATATCCTACACACAACCCAATTTAATTTAGAATTTAATTTCATCAAATTGAACTTCAATTTCAGAATATTTACATTTAATTTCATTCGTTAAAAAATTAATTTCATCAAACTAATAAAAATTTCACCAATTTAATATTTTAAAATTTAATTTTGTCAAATTAATATTATGTTTATTTAATTTTATTAAAGTAAAATTAAACTGAACTTCAATTTCATCAAATTGTTTCATTAATTCAAATATTAATTTTATCACACTAACACTAATTTTATTAATTTAACACCAAATTAATATTTAATTTCATCAATTTCATATTCATTTTTATTAAATTAACATTTTAAATTTTAATTTTTTCAAATCAATGTCAAATTAGCATTCAATTTATTTAATTTAGAATTTAGTTTTATTAAATTAACGTCAAATTGTACTTTAATTTCATGACAGTAGCACTTAATGTTATCAATTTAACACCAAATTAATATTTAATTTCATCAATTTCATATTCAATTTAATCACATTATTATTTTAAAATTTAATTTTGTTTGATGAAACTAAATTCTAAAATAAATAAATTGAATGCCAATTTGACTTTAATTTGATGAAATTAAATTTCCGAAATATTAATTTTATAAAATTGATTATGAATTTGATGAAATTAAATGTTAACTTGGTGTTAAATTGATGAAATTAAATATTAATCTACAGTTAAATTGATGAAATTAATATTTAAATAAATGAAATTATATATCAATTTGATGAACCTAAATTTTTAATTAAATAAATTGAATGTTAATTTGAATTTAATTTATTAAATTAAATTTTAAAATATTACCAATGGGTTTTTGGTCCAATAATACTCCTTACCTTGTGAAAACTTTGTCTTCTTAAGATCAAGGATTCAAGTCCCTTTCCCCTTCCCCCTCGNTTTTAAAATATTACCAATGGGTTTTTGGTCCAATAATACTCCTTACCTTGTGAAAATTTTGTCTTCTTAAGATCAAAGATTCAAGTCCCTTTCCCCTTCCCCCTCGCAAAAAAAATGAAAAAAAAATTTTAAAACATTAATTTGATGAAATTGAATTTGAATTTTACAAAAATAAATATAATTTTGGTGTAAAATTAATAATAGTATGAAATAAATATTTGAATTAATGACATTTACGGTCAATTGGTAATAAAATTGGAAGAGTCAACTTGAGGGTAAATTTGGAAGTTCATTGTAAAATATGGCATGACATCATTATTCTGATGTGTGCCAATAACAATAATGACTATAGGGGTATTATGTGAAATTTAAGATAAATTACAAGGGCATGCAATAATATTTTAAAATTTATAGGGGTGTCTCTACAATTAGGTCAATTTGGAGGGGGTGTCAGTGAAATTTACCCTAGATTCTACAAAGTAAATAACACATCTATTATACATTTTTATAGAAATATGAAAAAATATAAAATTATCTAATTAATGCATTCTAAATAGAATATCTTAGGGTCCGTTTAATTAATAAGAAAAATATAAAGTACACAGGATTTCAATTCACAAAAGACATGTACATAAAAATAATTTTTATATTTTGTGGTTCAAATCATTTTAAACTAGTCTAATCTTGATCCAATCACTACTATTAACTCCCCAAGTTTTATCCTTCCAAACTCCTATGCAAGTTTTGGACGTAAATATAAATTAATTAATATATTTTGTTTTTTTTGAACTAATTTTTTGTGATTAATTGTTATAATTTTTGGTTGATTTTGGGTATAAATATAAATATTTATGGTTGACATCTATTTTATTACACCGTGCCTTCAGACAAACGTTGTTTTCTTTATTCTTGCTCAATGTGAAATCATAGAGAATCAATAGATTTGTCATTGGATAAATTTATTTCTTTACTTCAAAGAGTTCATTGTTCTTTTTGATCAATCACTAATCACTTGCACTCTAAGAGTAAGGGTCAATGAAAACATTTTAAACTACTCACATATCCAAAGGCTATCCGATATGAGATAGCCCCAGTCCCCACCACCACTTGTCGCGAAAAGTAGGGAGTCGAGCCCTACCACCAGACGCCTCGTACACATTTTTTCATTTCGTTTGATAAATCACTAACCACTTATTCTAACAAAGTAAGGATTAGTGAAGACATTTTAAACTACTCGCACACTCAAAGTCTATCCGACGTGGGAGAGCTCCGTTCGTTGTTCCTTGGTTTTTGCATTTTTTATTTGATTATTTGTGTTACATCACATTATAAACCATAGCACCAAAAAAAATAAAAAAAAAATAGTCTAACATGGTAAACCATCGAGACCAATTTTTTCTTTTTTTTAACTGGGTAATTGATTGTGTTGTAGTGGTTAGAATCAATTTTAAAATTTCACATTCAAAATTAAATTTTAGTTTTGATTTTTTATTTTGAATTGTAAATACATCCACAAGAAGAAAAATAATACATATATCCACAAAAAACTGATGTTCAGAACTGAGCGAAGAGCCCGCTTCTTCAGTTAGACCCTATTCCCACGCGACGCTACTTGAAAATCTTTTGCACAGAGACAGAGGGAGAGAGAGAGTTGGATCAACAACCTCTACGTTTGGTCCTTGTCGGTTCTCTACAGTACGAGCCACAACGTTGTGGTGAACTCTCTTTTTCTTTTCAATCTTTGTTCATCAACATCAATNATTAATATATTTTGTTTTTTTTGAACTAATTTTTTGTGATTAATTGTTATAATTTATGGTTGATTTTGGGTATAAATATAAATATTTATGGTTGACATCTATTTTATTATACCGTGCCTTCAGACAAACGGTGTTTTCTTTATTCTTGCTCAATGTGAAATCATAGAGAATCAATAGATTTGTCATTGGATAAATTTATTTTTTTACCTCAAAGAGTTCATTGTTCTTTTTGATCAATCACTAATCACTTACACTCTAAGAGTAAGGGTCAATGAAAATATTTTAAACTACTCACATATCCAAAGGCTATCCGATGTGAGATAGCCCCAGTCCCCACCACCACTTGTCGTGAAAAGGAGGGAGCCGAGCCCTACCACCAGACGCCTCGTACACATTTTTTCATTTCGTTTAATAAATCACTAACCACTTATTCTAACAAAGTAAGGATTAGTGAAAGACATTTTAAACTACTCACNAACAAAGTAAGGATTAGTGAAAGACATTTTAAACTACTCACACACTCAAAGTCTATCCGACGTGGGAGAGCTCCGTTCGTTGTTCCTTGGTTTTTGCATTTTTTATTTGATTATTTGTGTTACATCACATTATAAACCATAGCACCAAAAAAAATAAAAAAAAAATAGTCTAACATGGTAAACCATCGAGACCAATTTTTTCTTTTTTTTAACTGGGTAATTGATTGTGTTGTAGTGGTTAGAATCAATTTTAAAATTTCACATTCAAAATTAAATTTTAGTTTTGATTTTTTATTTTGAATTGTAAATACATCCACAAGAAGAAAAATAATACATATATCCACAAAAAACTGATGTTCAGAACTGAGCGAAGAGCCCGCTTCTTCAGTTAGACCCTATTCCCACGCGACGCTACTTGAAAATCTTTGCACAGAGACAGAGGGAGAGAGAGAGTTGGATCAACAACCTCTACGTTTGGTCCTTGTCGGTTCTCTACAGTACGAGCCACAACGTTGTGGTGAACTCTCTTTTTCTTTTCAATCTTTGTTCATCAACATCAATCCACCGCCAATTTGTTCGTCCCATCCTCTTCCTTTCTGAATATGAATAGTGTATGTTTCAGTGTGTAGGTAAATTTTAATTCAAATCCATCTGGGTTTGCTTTCTTTAACATTGGGTGTCTGTTCTTGAAGTGGGTTCCTTTTCTATTCCATGACAAATGTAGAGAGAGAAAATACCTGAGTCTTCAACTGGATGTCTTTGTTTTAATGGGGAGGAGAGATCAGATTCCAATTCCATCTGCCTCTGCTTTTCTTCCCATTGCATTATTCATTTTCAAACTTGGTTTTCTGTCACTATCTTATTGACAAATATAAAAGAAAATGATGTAAATTTTTATGAGTAGTGCTTTAATATTGTTTGACAATATTCCATCATTTATGTTTCCCTTTCTGCATTGAGAAGAAATAATTCTAGAGGTTGTCTTTTATAGTGTTCACAATTTCAGTGGGAATGAATGAATGGCTGGTTTGTGGTTCTATTCAAGTTATCGTCACTTGAAATCATAAAGTTCATCNTCTAGAGGTTGTCTTTTATAGTGTTCACAATTTCAGTGGGAATGAATGAATGGCTGATTTGTGGTTCTATTCAAGTTATCGTCACTTGAAATCATAAAGTTCAACCGTGTTAGATTTTCTGGGCAAAATTCGTTGTTTCCTTCAACTAATCATTCTGATCAACCTCTAAAATTCTCTAGTTTGTTAAAGGTTCATGGTAGCTCATACTAGTTTTGATGCTCACCATCAAGATTTATGTTTTATCATGTGTCCTTGTAGTTAGGAATACAAAGTATATGCCATAGCACATAATTGGAAATTCTTGTGCTCAATATTGAAATGGCAGAGAGAAATGCACATTTCACGGGGCAGAAATCATTGTTTTGTTTGTTTCTTGTTACAGCAATCTTGTTCATGTTATCTTGGTTCTTTGTTTGGCGTTCAACTGGCCGACCTCACTTCATTGACCATAGTTTATTACCTAATTCCAAGATCTTTGCTACGATTGACAATGATAATCCTGAACCCCGGATTCAAAGTGATATTGGACCCTCAATTGGGAATGCTGAAGATGAAGTAGAAGCACCACCAAAGAAGAATCTAGCTGAATGCAATCCAAATAAAGTATTCCTTAAGGTTTTCATGTATGATTTACCCCCAGAGTTTCATTTTGAGTTGTTGGGTTGGAAAGCTGAGGGAGAGAGTGTTTGGCCTGATATTCGAAAAAAAGTTCCTGATTATCCTAGTGGGTTAAACTTGCAACACAGTATAGAATATTGGCTTACGTTGGATCTGCTATACTCAGAATTTGCTGACAGTTTAAGTGGCCATAGTGCAATAAGAGTTCATAATGCCAGTGAAGCTGATGTTGTATTTGTTCCTTTTTTTTCATCCATAAGCTATAACAGGTATTCTAGGGTGAAGCCACACGAAAAGGGAAGCAAGAATAAATTGCTACAAGAAAATTTGGTCAAATTTTTGACAACTCAAGAAGAATGGAAGAGGTCAGGGGGAAGAGACCATATAATTGTCGCCCACCATCCAAATAGCCTTTTAGATGCAAGAATGAAGCTGTGGCCTGCAATGTTCATCCTTGCGGATTTCGGAAGGTATCCCCCAAACATAGCTAACGTTGACAAAGATATCATTGCACCTTACAAGCATGTAATCAAAAACTTCGTCAACGACTTGTCTGATTTTGATAGCCGACCAACTTTGCTGTACTTCAAGGGTGCCATATACAGGAAAGACGGTGGGTTTGTCCGGCAAGAGTTATTTTATCTTCTAAAAGATGAAAAAAATGTGCACTTCTCGTTTGGAAGTGCCCAAAGAGATGGGATTAATAAAGCTGCACAGGGAATGCACTCTTCAAAATTTTGCCTCAACATAGCGGGTGACACTCCCTCATCAAACCGCCTCTTTGATGCCATTGCTAGTCACTGCGTACCAGTTATCATCAGTGATGACGTTGAGCTTCCCTATGAAGATGTCCTTGACTATTCCGAGTTCTGCATATTTGTTCGTACATCGGATGCTCTCAAAGGAAAATTTCTCATAAACCTCATCAAGAGCATTGGACGGGATGAGTGGAACAGGATGTGGAAAAGGCTGAAAGAAGTTGAAAATTTCTTCGAGTTTCAGTATCCATCGAAGGAGGGTGATGCTGTCCAAATGATATGGCAAACTGTGGCTCGTAAGGTTCCTGCTATTAGAATGAAGGTACACAAATCTAAGCGGTTCTCTCATTGGAATGGTTCTAGAGAAAGAGGGCCAAGATCACTCCCATTGCCAAGAAATTTTTGGTGAGGTTGACTAGCAATTAATTTTTTTTTAATGATTTAACTTGTTTTAAAAAAAATAGATATTATTTTAGACAAAAAAAATTATATTTAAACATAATTTAACTTAGCTATCGATTTTTTGTTCCTCTCCCCAACAGATTCAGTCCCTCACGTCCAACTTCAAGAAAGCAAAACTAAACACAGTATAGATACAAATACCAACAAAATTTTATTTGTCAAGAAACTATCATAAATTATAAATTTAAAGTGATCAATTAAAAAATATAAAGTTTTAATAATCACAAAAAAATTAGAAGATCGAATTGCTGAGTTTGGATCGAATTGCTGAAAAGAGAGGTAAAAACAAAGAAAAATGAAGAAGAAATTATAATGAGTATTACATTTAACAAATTGTGAGAATGGATTTTGAGATCTAGTTGGTAACCGTTGCATGAAATCTTTTCTAAAAAGAGAAGGGAGAAGCCCAAAAACAGGTATACCATTTTAGGACTCTCATCTCTCGTACAATTCTCCCTATCTATTTATCTTATATTCTCTCTCTCTCTCATATTATTATATATATTTTTTTGTTTCCCCGGTGTTACTATATATGTAACGACATGTAACTTGCTTCTTAATTTATAAATAACACATAAATAAAAAATAACACATTGACTATAAATACCAAATAATATTCAACATGAAATTAATCTTAGATTGTAAATTTATATATAATTTTATTAAAAATTGACATTTAATATTTTTCAATTTATATTAAACTTTGTCAAACTAATATTGAATTAATTTTTTGTTATCAAATTAATATTGAAATTTATTTAATCAATTTCTTGGAGTACTAAATTATATAAATTTTTTGGGTACTAAATCAATTTTTATTTGATTTTATTAAATTTTTAATTTTTTTAGTACCAAATTTGGAGAACGACAATTGTAAAAATAATAAATTTTTTTGGGATGAAATTATCAATCTTCATTAGTAACATTGACGGAAGAGAGATAGAGGGAGTCTCCATGCAATATATTCAAACTTTAAAGGGTTTCCGTGTTATTTATAAAATGTTAAGAGGCGTCCGTGTAATATTATCAAAACTCAGATGATATCCGTGATTTTTATCCTGTTTTTTAATTCAATATTAATTTATTATTATTTTATCTTAAAAACTTGAGCAGTTATTAGTTAGGAAGGTTTGTTGGTAACCAAAAAAAAATGTGTGTAAGTGTGCTTTTGTGTATATTTATATGTAGATGATTGAACATGTGGTGATTAAATTTATAATTATATTGTGTCATATGAGGTTAAATGATGATAGTGATAATAAGTTCATGAGTTTTATAAATAAATAAAATTTGATTGATTTTATTTATCACTTAAAGATTATGAATTTAATTGTGTTCTGTTAGTATTTTTTTTTTTTTACTTGAGATATTTATTATATGGGGATATGGTGGATTGGAAATATGGGGGATTGAGTTTATAATTATGCTATATTATTAGATTGAGTGGTAGTAGAGGTGATAAATTTGTGAGACTTATAAATAAACAAGATTTTATTTATTGCTTAAAGATTACAAATTTCAATGAATTATGTTAGTTTTTTTTTCCAGAGGCATTTGTATATATAGTGTTGTTTTAGAGAGTTTTTATATATTTTTGTGACAGTTTCATTAATGTAGAGGATATAGTTGACGATATTTTGAATCACTTTAAAAAAAGAATTGGTATAAATATTTTTAGGTCATTCCTTTTAAATTTGGGCAATTTTTTTAACTTTTTTTTGTTTATTATATAATGTCTTCGGGCAAGGTAGTGAATCTATATCTATACTACTAATAAAAGTTTATTAACATGAAAATTTTTTAATTCTCTATTTTACCCTTATAAAAAATTACAAAGATCACTCTACGATTTTATAGTTAAGTATATATATACTTCTAATAAAAATACCTTAACATGAAAAAATTTTGATTCTTTATTTTACATTTATAAAAAATTACAAAGACCACTTTATCCTTTAATAATTAAATATCTAAATTATCTATTCTCTATATATAAATATCACTTTTTATGAAATTTTTTGACTAACTATATACTTTAAAAAATATACATTATTATATTTTCAATAAAGTGTTCAAAAAAAACTTTCAAAAACTCTATCAATTTAATATTACTCATTTCATATGCAAAGATAACATTATCCGCACATATGCTTATTTTCTTTTTCATTGAAAAGTTTACCCTTTCATTTATAAGATAAAAAATAATTGTTTATATAGTTTTTTAAAATGATTTATGCTATATCAATATAACTTTTCAGTCTCAATAAACTTTCTAAGTTGTATTAAAATTTTATGTGAAAACAGTTTATAATGTATCCCTAAGTAAAACTTGAATTTTTTCAAAATTTGATATGTTTTAAAATATATATTATAGAGTAGTATATTAAATTTTATTCTAATTGACCTAACTAATTCTTAATTACATTAAAGTTTCAATATGAGTAATATATTGATAGTTACTTTTATTTTATTCAAAGAATTATAAGTAGAATTCTAATCGAATGAATTTCAAAAAATATAATTTCTTAAACGTCACAAAAAAATTACTCTCAATCACAGAATTCTAAAAAAAATAACTTTAACTATTTTTTTTCTTATAATTAGAACAATGAATTTTGGGAGTATTCAAAATTTTCATAATCCTATAATATAATATGAGTAATAAAAAATTAAGCCTCAATAAAATTTTGCCAGAAGTTTCTATCAAAATGGTCAAAAAAGGACCCCTAAACTGTCTCCATATAAGAACAATTCCTCATTTCTAATCTCTGTAAAAATAGAATTTTGGAATCATAGTAAGTTTTATCCTTGATGATACCATGAATAAATTCATGTTTCAAACAAAGGCTACAACACAATAAAAGGATTCATTCCCATATCCTAACAAATTATGTACACCATTATTACTCGAGGATCACACTACCTTAGTGGATAAATAACAGACTCTTGCCATGTCCAAAGAATGAGCAAATTGCAATTTTTAAAGACTCTGATTTTATTATTCTCCAAAGAATACAAGTCAAATAAACAAGAGTCTCAATTACAGTAGATTAGCTTAGTTCTTCAACTTTGTGAACCACTTAATTCGTTTTGCTCTTGCTTGTTGCTACTCTCTTCACACACGCACATCATTCACTTAACACAACACCTACCCTTACTCATACTTCTCGGTTTCATACACCATGAATCTTAAAAGGTGATTAGTCATATTCAAAAGTGTAATTGAATCCAAAATATGTTAAGTGAACATAAAAATTGAATGCACACTTAAAGTTAATAGCTCCACCTAAAAAAGAGTATAAATACCTAAAATAATAATAATAAATATGCATGGTATGAAATTTTTTTCCCACCAAACTCATTAACCTATGGAAAGGAAGGACAGTCCCACCTCATATGTAACATGAAAATTGTTGGAAGTCCTGGCTATATATCTCTCATTGTGCATATGAGCTAGGACAATTGATCATGTTTCTTTATACCATTGGCCAAAGTATGTTTGGATCGACAACAATATCAAAATGTATTACTGAAAGAGTAATGTTATGTGCCGAGAAAATGTGCATCAAATCAGTTGCAACCGTTAGATTAGTGGGTCTTATCACTGATCCAACAATTACAATTGATTTAGTGTAAGTTTTAGTACACAAATTTGGTGCATAAAAAATTATCGTTTTTAAAATGGCCTCCTTTCCAAACTAGGCGAGTGTTTTGTTGACATGTCATAAATATGAAAAGTAACTACGATAAGTGTTTCCCACCAACACCAAAAGCAACTAATAAAAGGTATGGATTCAAGGTAGAGTAGTGTTATATGAATTTAATTTGGAGATTTAATTATAAATTTAATTTAATATAATTATTAAATCTTTTATGAGTTCAAATGTCAAATAAAATTCACTACTAATCTAATAAAAAGTCCCAAAACTAGATTTAAATAGCATTTTAGTTCATTTTCAGTAATTATAGTTGTGAAGTTCAAGTTTTTAAGCTCGTGGATCATCAAACGAATCTTGTTTTAATGTTTTTTTGAGTAAGTATTTTTTAAAGATTTTTATTATAAACCTGAGTGTCTTTTTTTTTTCGTGGGGAGGGGATGTGTGTTTGGTTTAACGATATTGTTTATTTGTGGGATAATTACAATGACGAAAAATGTTATTTGAACTTAAAAATTTGACATAATTTATTGATCTAATAACGTGCCTTTATTAGAACAATTGGATAAACATCAAGTTCTAATGTTTAAAGGAGCTCACAGTTAATCCAAATGTCATAGTAAATTAGGTTAGCAAATTAGGTCCCAATAGCATTCCTCTTACAATGACACACCCTCTTGTTTCTAACAATTTCACTGAACCTTCTAGTGTTTTTGAAATTACAATGACCAGAATTGTCAAATGAATAAGGTTAACCAGAATTGTCAAAAATAAAACTTAAAACCCATCTAAAAATAGTTGACACATTCCATACAAACCCAATCACGTAGCCTCTCTCTCTCTCTCTCTCTCTCTCTCTCTCTCTCTCTCTCTCTCTCTCTCTCTCAGTGACTATCAATGTGGTCATTATCCCATCACTGTGATTGCTACCAACACGGTGCCCATCGCTGACCAACGCCAATCGAATCGTTCATTTCCTCCTTTCCTCTCTCTCATTTCTTTTCCCCAGTAATGATCCTAGTTTCTTTAATGCATAGAGATGCCATAGCTGCAAGCATTCGCATGCTCTACAAGCCTAAAACAAAGAGGAGCAAAGAGAATAAACACAGTATGATGAAAGGATGATTAAATAGTAATGCTATTGGGACCTAATTTATTAATTTAATTTGTTGACCTAATCCACTATAATTTTTGGATTAACTGTGGCTTCCATCAAACATTGAAATTTGGTGTTTATTCAATGGTTTCAATGAAGCCACGTCATTAGGACAACAACTTATGTCAGTTTTTTAAGTCTAAATAGAATTTTCCTCACATTAAAATAGGGTTTCATTCGTATCTATTGTTAATTTGATCGGACAATCAAAAGATTCGTGTCTAACTTTAAATATAAAGTAGCTATTTAATGAGTATTATAAACAAAAAAGTAAGTATTTTATAATTTTTTAAATGTTGTTTTATGAATTGTCATAAATGTGAAATATACGACACAACGCAATTGATTCAACACAAAAATATTTTTTGTGTTAAATTTTTTTATTTATTGACTTGAACACAATACGAAAATGATATGACACGACACAAAATGAAACAATACAAAAAATGTTACGATACAATACAATTAAGAGATATTTAGCGAGTATTAATGGATAAAAAAAATTTTGAATTATAAATGTGAAAATTTTAAACTTTGAAGGTATAATTTATAATTAACCCAAACTTTTTTAACAGCAAAATAGATGGCAGTCAACCCCCGGGGCACACTAATACAAATTTATGCTTTTCATGATATAAATATATATTTTTAAACTTTAAGAATTCAAATTAAAATTTGAGTCATTTTTTAGGGTACAAACTGTGATTAGCCCTATAAAATAACAATCTCTTCCCCGTCTTTTTGGGTAAATTATATTTTATGCCCTTAAATTATTACCTTTATTTTATTTTATACCCTCAACTATAAAACTTTTTACATTATACCCTAAAGTATTAATTTTATTTTATATCACTCCAATAGATAAATATTTATCAATTTTTTCGATGGTAAATGCGCATGTGCATGGTCTGTACCGTCAAAAAAAAAATACATACCCATGAACTTTGTCTTTCTTAAGCTCTAATTTTTTTTCCTTTGCCCGACCTTATTTTTCTTCGTAGCAACCATTTGGTTACAAAATAGGTAAAAATAAAGTAGTGCTAGACACTTATCGGAAAGTTCTTTAGAGTTTTTCATTTGGCAAATTTTCAAGTTTATTGTTATCTATTGGAGTGATATGAAATAAAATTAATATTTTAAGATGCAATATGAAATTTTTTATAATTGAGGTACAAAGTGAAATAAGGGTAATAGTATAGGGCGATAAAATGTAATTTACTCTTTTTTTTGGGCAAATTTCAACTCAAAAGATCACTTATTAAATATTCAATATTTATGTTCCAAAAAGAATTCCATCCAATAATGTTCATTAAATAACTCTCAATTGTATAGTCTCATAACATTTTCATGTCGTGTTCGAGTCAATAAAAAAATATTTTTAAAATTTTAAAAAAATTATAAAATAGGGTTAATCTCATTTTACACCCCGAAAGATTGTTCGAATCTCAATTTGCACCCTCAAAGATCAAAAATCTCAATTTACACCCTCAAAGATAGAAATTTGTATCAATGTGCACCCCCAAAGATTAAAAATCTCAATTTGCACCCTCAAAGATAGAAATTTGTATCAATGTGCATCCCCAAAGATCAAAAATCTCAATTTACACCTTCAAAGATAGAAATTTGTATCAATGTGCACCTAAAATTAAATTAATAAATTATACCTTGATCCCCTCATGTTTGTCACTTAATCATTTGAACTCCTTCACATTTAGAATATTCCCCTTACATCTCATGACGTTTATGCATGTGTAACACATAACCACTTTTCGTTGATATATATTAATATAATCGTTAAAAAATATGATTTTATCCTAATATAAAATTATAATTTTATATTACCTTTTATTTTGTGGATTCGATATACTCTAAAGTTGAAAATCAAGCTTACCATTTGAATGTCTAATAAAATGTAGATATTTATATAAAAGGTAATATAAAAAATATTATATAAATATTTATATTTTATTAGACATTCAAATGGTAAATTTGATTTTGAACTTTATAGTATATTGAACCTATAAAATAAAGGGTAATATGAAATTATAATTTTTTATTAGGATAAAATTATATTTTTTAACGGTTATATTAATAGATATCAATGAAAATGGGTTACGTGTTATACGTGCACAAATGTCATAAGATGTAGGAGTAATATTCTAAATGTGAAGAGGTCTAAATGATTAACTGACAAATATGAGGGGATTTAGGTATAATTTATCAATTTAATTTTAGGTGCACATTGATACAAATTTCTATCTTTGAGGGTGCAAATTGAGATTTTTTATCTTTGGGGTACATATTGATACAGATTTCTATCTTTGAGGGTGCAAATTGAGATTTTTGATCTTTGGGGGTGCACATTGATACAAATTTTTATCTTTGAGGGTGCAAATTGAGATTTTTGATCTTTGGGGGTGCAAATTGAGATTCGAACGATCTTTCGAGGTGCAAAATGATATTAACCCTATAAAATATTTATTTTTTACTTACAATATTCGGTAAATAACTATTTTATGTCTACAGTTAAACACAACAGTAGAAAAAAATAGTTAACGAGTATTATTAGCAAAGAATAAGTATTTTTAATTTTAAAAAAATATAGTATTATATGAATTGCCGTGAAATATATGACACAACGTAATTGACTTGATAAAAAAATATTTTTTGTTAAAAATATTTTTTATTGACTCAAATAAGATACAAAAATGTTATGACACGATATAATTGAGAGTTATTTAACCAACATTAATAGATAAATATTTTTTTGAATCATAAATATGAAATATTTAAATTTTAAGAGATATAAATTATAATTAATTCAAAATTTTTTAACTATAAAATAGACGACAGTTAATTTTAGGCGTACATTAATAAATATTTATACTTTTTTAGAATTAAATTAATATTTTAAAATTTTAAAATAACAAATTAAAATTAAATTAATCTTTTATGGTACAAGGTGAAATTACCTTTTTCTTTGTACCCTTTACTATTGTCCTTTTCTGCAACCCTCGGATTTTAGATAACACATTTCCATTCTTTACTCCGACAGAATCTCTGGCCTTATCTGTTTCTCACTTCAACACCACTACAACTACATGAACCTCTCATTTTCCTCTCCATCCAAAGATGTAGCCACCCAGAAACACTATGCAACAAACGCTCCACCTCTACTCCGCCCACAACGCCACCTTTCCTACCACCCGCTTCCCATTCAACCATCCCAACTTTCTTTCTCTTCCTCGTTTAACATACCTTCACCTCCCCCATCTCTCCTCCTCCAAATCACCCACTATTTCTCTCCCCCCAAATTCATCACAAACACACTCCGTTTCCTTAACCCTCCAAAAGCCACAACCCCAACTACAAAATCACCCCGTACCCACAAACCCAAATCCCCAATTCGAAGAAAAAATGATTTATCTAGCCTCCATGGACATTGACCTTTTAACTCTCGTGACAACCAACCCACCTCTAGCCTCCGTTCCCATCAACCAAATCAAATCCATTGTTGAATACCTTCACTCCATAGGTCTCACCACCACCGATCTCCGCCGTATCTTCAGCATGTGCCCAGAAATTTTAACCCAAAATCTCACCACTATTGTCCCCGTCATCACATTTCTCTTACGCGAAGCCCGTATCAACGGCAAGGATCTTCGCCACGTCATCCACCGCCGTCCCCGCCTCCTCACTTGCGGCGTCGCCACCCGCCTCCGCCCCACCCTATTCTTCCTTCACAGCACAATAGGACTTGAGGATGTGAGGAAACAAACATCACTCCTTTCGTGTTCAGTAGAGCAAAAATTCGTTCCTCGTATAGATTACTTCCAGAAATTGGGCTTCTCATATCGAGAAACCATCTCAATGTTCCGAAGATTTCCCTCGTTGTTCTGCTATAGTATCGAGTCAAATTTCGAACCGAAATTTGATTACTTTGTGGTGGAAATGGGAAGGGATATGAAGGAATTGAAAGATTTTCCGCAGTATTTTTCGTTTAGTTTAGAGAATCGGATTAAACCGAGGCATAGGAAATGTGTGGAGAAAAGGGTGTGTTTGTCACTGCCGGAAATGTTGAAGTCAAGCGAGGAAAGGTTTAAGGAGAGATTGGAGGTGTGTTATAGTTCATCGATGCCGGTGAGAACTTCTCCGTTGTGTTGTACAAAGTACAAATTGTGAAGTGGATTAATTTGTTATAGATTTTACTATTTCAATTATAAATATGTTTTTGTTTGTTTCATCTAATTTTGTCTGCATAGTGATTATTGGGAGCCCATGAGGTGGTGTAGCAATTTTTTCTTTTCAAAGAGTGAAAGTAAAGTTCATTCTATTTTTCTGTCCTAATGATTCTAATGGAAAAGGAGATATTGTAATTTGGTCTAGGTAATTTTTGTTCAAATAAAGCAAAAAAAAAGTAATTTTTTTTGTATTTGATTGTAATGCTGATTAAATTCATGTTGCAATGAAGTCATGTAAAAAAAGATCTCTGGCAAAACGTAATTCCCCGAGTTCAATCCTGGGTGCACCTTGCTTTTTTCTGGTGGCTTTCTTATGCCTATTCAGCAAGGGGGGCATTGGTCATAGCCGAGATTCGTCGAAGGGTATAGGATTCTATTTTCTACTGCAAGAAATATCGGCCCATTTTATTTGTTTATCAAGAAAGATATATGGTTCAATTCAACACCTTCCAACCCCAGTGACTCACGAAGAGCTACCAATCTTATTCAGGATTTGATATTTGAGTTTTGTCATGATGTTGGTCCAAAAAGATAAAGCAAATATCTGTGGGTAGCACTCTTATATCCATTCAATCACTGTTTACCAATTGTGATCAGGTGGCATGTACCAAGGCTGCACCTCCAAAAGTCTTTTGGCACAATACAGTGCTTGGGAATATGAATATATGTTAGGGTTTAACGAGTGAACAGCAGGTTTACATATGCCTAGTTCAACATATGTGTTTAGTTTTTACGAGATATGAGTATAATTTGTGGTCATGTGAATATAGTTACGTTTGTATTCTGATTTCTTTTCTTTTTTCTTTAGTAGTTCAGGGTTAGATGGAGGTTTTGGTCTTCTTACAATTTACGAACTAGGAGAAATGCTATTTTTGTGATGTCTGAATTTGGACCTTATTAAGTTAGATTATTTGGCTTTTATTAGATATATTCTGCGTAATTTCTATCTCTAAAAGGTTTAATGCACAATCTGTAAACAACGAACTTCCACATGGATACTCAGATGAATACAAAGATACTTTGGGGAAACTTGACAGTCCTATGCTTGTAGTTTCCTTGTGAAGGTAGTAGTAATTGGTTGTATCTTATGATAGTTTTTTTTTTTTTTTTTTTAAATTATGCTGCTTGTTTGTTCAATTATCTATGTGCTTAGAAGATTGCAGGCGGAGAAAGATGAGAAGTTGTTTCATGTTGTTGGATTTGTCAGTTGTGCAAATGCAATATCCTTTGATATGATCACATGCATGCAGTAGTCATGTTGTTATTGTTATTTTTTCTTTTTCAGAATGTGTATTCTTTTCAATTGTTGATCTAAAATGAATACTTGTTTGATTTTAGTGCCATTGCATTTTATTTGCAGCAGGAAATTTTTTTTGGAAAGTAGGTAATTAGCAACATTGGATAAAACTCATTACTTTCAGTTGATCACTTTTCTCCTCGTTTGACTGGACGCTGAGACCTTACTATGAGTCTTTTGGGGTCCAACATGTTACTCTGATGGTTGTGGTTTCTTGGTGCTGCAGAGCTGATTTAGGTGAGCCATTTGTGCTTTGATTTGGACAAATACAAGGCATGTGGAACTACAATCCTAATCTCAGATATAGTGGACCATTGCAATATTTTTCACGGATGTTCTTCCCATGTTGCTAGACCACATAAATGTTACTATGTTACCACCATTGTTTTTTGTTCATTGTAATTAATAGTAGATTGAGGTTTTGATCTTCTCAAACTTATGAGCTGACATTCTGATTGTGGTATTTTTTGTTCATTGTAATTAATAGTAGATTGAGGTTTTGATCTTCTCAAACTTATGAGCTGACATTCTTGATTGTGGTAATCTTCCAGTTTTGGATAGCAAAATGTTGGCTATTTTTTATTAGATAGGTTGTCTCTGAGGTTCATGCACTTGGGTTTCTCACAGTTATTTTGTACCAAGGAAGTGAAAATTAGAACGTAATCTAGCACTTAAATTTTACTTCTCTTCAGAACATGGGGCATGGTAATAATCGGATTTTATAGTCATTCAAACACGTAGGTCCGGAAGAAGAATGGCTAACTCGTATTTGAAGGCTTCACCAGTACTATTTTAGATTGGTAATTAGCAATGTAATCCCACTTATCTGATGCTATGTGCATTTGATCTTAGTAGAAAGCCAAGCCAACAGATTTACTGAAACCAAATTACAATGAGTGAATCTTTACCAAGTTTGGACCAAATGCAGAGATCTCGTCTCTGCAAGGTGGGAGTACACTATGCTGGTTGGGGTTATGGACCTAGAAGTGTGATTTTACTGATGGAGGCTATTTATTACTGTAGAATAGGTCTACATTCATTTTGTGATGGGTATTGATAGTCATGTGGTTAGGCTTTCATCTCTTGGTGAAGTGGAGGTTTCTAGCCAATTTTTAGAGCAAATGGATTGTATAATATCATTCAGGTATAGAGCAAGTTTTCCATCTTTTCATGATTTATTAATTGCAAAATGCTTGATTGTTGTAATGCCTTTTGATTTGGATCTAGTTGTGTTACGTGATTTTGATCTTATGCGTCTTATCCTCAGTATTCTTCTTCATGTTTGATGCACATGCTTTTGAGAAAATGAGCTTGACAGTAGAAAAAATTCTTAGATACGGTTTAGATGAATCTAAAGATATATTGGGAAAAGTTGATAAAACTCTTGATTGAGTTGGTCTTTTTATGAGGGTATAGTAATTGATTGCATTGCATCCAATGGAAATTTTCTGCCTGTAGTATCGGGTTATGATTCTGATTTTTTTTTTAATATAAGATTGATTGTAGTACTTGTGCCATATCTTTGGATTTGATCACAATATTATAGGTCCTTTGATTGAAGAATTGCTGACAGATTGGCATTGAAGCTACATATTGGCATTCAGATGGCATAAAGAGGAAAAGGATGGAGAAAATTCATCTTTTATAAGGTTATTTGTTTCTGTCACACCAATGGGGAAGCATTTGTCTCTAGTACTGTAGTAAACTTGGTTCCCAAAACCAAAGGTGGGACAAGGAAATTCATTTCTGCATCATTTTGCCCATTCTAATGGAGTGTAGACATGCTCTTTGTTTGCAGAAACAGTTGGTCTCCCACGACGGATATGAGTCTTTTCTACGTTTGGGTTGGATTTGCTGGCATCAGATTTATGATTTGTCATAAGGGTCATTGATTAAAACCATTCAATGACATAGTATGTGATGAACTTGGTAGAGCAGGATTGTAGGAAGCAGTACTGATCGAGTTAGATTTCAATTAAAACTGTTCATTTTTAGCTAATTTTGGACTGCCATGGTTTCTTATTGATGTTTGAGAGTAAAACTACTCAGCAGCTTTGGATATATTAGCAGTAATATTATATTCCTTAAGAGTTGTTTTATCTCCTACCAATTATTTTGGTATGTTAGCCTATATTCATACAATGGCCACGGTTGTCCCAAGAACTTAAACCTAGTCAGCATCTAGATGACCATTCCGGGTTTGCCACATCATCATTTGAGGGACCCGACAATGACGTGTTCCATCCGACGTGGGGACCCCTTGTTGGGTCTCTACGTACACCTCACTGTTTGAGACACGAACACGCAGTGGATGTGGCGGAACTAGTGTCAAATATGACTAAAAGTATCTGGAATACATAGTGAATTCGGTCAAACATCGCTAAGACACGGTCTAAATATTTTTTTAATTTTAAAAATGACTTGTATATAATAAAAAATATGTATTTTTTATTATATGAATTATATAATATGAATGTTAATAGATATAATGATGTTTAATAAAAATAATGAATATTTGTTTTGATTTATTTTAATTTTAATAAAAAAAATTAATATTTACTAGGTATAACATAGAGCTTTGATGTCAAAAATGAGCAATGTTATATGAATTTAAAAATTAGATTTAATAATTATGATGATTGATTTTATTGTGAGTTTCAGTATTTATTGAAATTTATTATCTATTCAATGGTTAAAATTATCAAGTTTAATTTTTAAATTTAATTTTTGGGTAAAATTCAGTTTACCCTCTTGTGATTTAGGTGTTTTGCACATGATCCCCTATAATTTGAAAATCAGCAGATTACCGTCTTGTGCTTTTGGACTAAAATACTACCATTAGTTTTTCCATTAAATTAAACCATCTATGACACACACGCGCTTAAAAGGAGATTTGACATAACAAAACTTTTTTCCTCCAAAAATAGACACAATAAAAGTACAATAATACAATTTTTTAATCTTTGTCTTTTTGAACAGTTGACTATCATATATTTTTCTCAAATAATTCACTCCAAGCACCATCTCGTTATCAAAATTTTTAACAACAAAATTTTAAAAATTAAAATTAAATGAATGATTCTTAACTATGCACGGCTCAAGTGAATTTCATCTTACCACTCAAACCATAGGAATAACTAATGGCTAGAGGTTCAATAATCATGGTTTTATGTGCAGTAAAGGGGTATGGCTTTGATGTTGTCGTTGGTTGCGGCGAGGAGAGCCTGGGAAGAGGGGGTTTGAGCAGAGAGGTGAGGGCAAGGGAGGAAGGGAGGGGATGGGATAGAGATATACCTGGGAGGGCTATTTGGCGGTGGGTTGCCAATAGTGGCAAAAAAGGTGGTGAGAAAAAGGAGCAATGAGATTGTTCCTTAGAGAAAGAGAGAGGGGAGAGGGGGTTGTTGATGGAGAGAGATGATGAAGAAGAGAGAGAGGGGGCAGTGACATTGCTGAGTCAGAGAGAGAGAGTGAGAGAGGCAACAAGGTATATAGTGAGAGAAAATCAAAATTCTTGTTTAAGCTTAAAATTTGAATTTTTGGGTATTCAAAATTTCGAGTTTTGGAGGTGAAGGGGGGCCTAATCCACAATTTTTAAGGTTAAGGAATCTATTTTTGAAGTTAGAATCGAGAAAGAATGAGGTTTAGTGGATGAAAAATTGAATTAAAAGTCGTGATAATTTTTGAAAATGATGAACCTGTCACTTTGGAGCTCTATTTTCACTTTCCTTGTGCATGATTTGGACAAACTAAATACATGGTTGGAAAGAGGGTAGAAAGAAGTTAAATTTAGGAATTTGAATCACCCAAAAAGATTGAGAAACGATGGAGAAATTAAGGACAAAACTTGGCCCAAATGTTGAAAAAAAAATATGGTATATACATAACTTGTCAAAATGAGTTTGCGATCACCTTTGAGCATAAATTCGTGGGTCATGGGGGTTATTTAAGGAAACAAGTCCGTGAGATTTAAAACTAGGTTGAGAGTGGAGGATATTGACATTGGTTTGAGGAAGTTTGGTACTTTGTGGAGAGAGAGAAAAACTTGTAAAATTGAGTGGTTGGTTGATTTTTCAAAAAATTAGACTACAGTTGTGAGGGAGGAAGAAGATGATGAATAGTTGAGGTACTAAAGTCATTTTACCACTTCTATTTACGGTGTTAATTGTGTATATCGATCCAAAAGCATAAGGAGATAATGTGCTGATTTCCAAATTATAGGGGTCATGTGCAAAATATTCAAACCACAGGGGATAAACTGGATTTTGTCCTTAATTTTTAGGGTTAATCTCATTTTGCACCTCGAAAGATTGTTCGAATCTCAATTTGCACCCTCAAAGATCAAAAATCTCAATTTATACCCTCAAAGATAGAAATTTGTATCAATGTGCACCCCCAAAGATCAAAAATCTCAATTTACACCCTCAAAGATAGAAATTTATATCAATGTGCACCCCAAAGATAAAAAATCTCAATTTGCACCCTCAAAGATAGAAATTTGTATTAATGTGCACCTAAAAACTAAATTGATAAATTATACCTATATCCCCTCATACTTGTCACTTAATCATTTAGACCTCTTCACATTTAGAATATTACTCCTACATCTTATGACATTTGTGCACGTATAACACGTAACCCATTTTCATTGATATCTATTAATATAACCGTTAAAAAATATAATTTTATCCTAATAAAAAATTATAATTTCATATTACCCTTTATTTTAGGGTTTAATATATTCTAAAGTTCAAAATCTAGTTTACCATTTGAATGTCTAATAAAATGTAAATATTTATATAATATTTTTCATATTACCTTTTATATAAATATCTACATTTTATTAAACATTCAAATGGTAAACTTGATTTTTAACTTTAGAGTATATTGAATCCACAAAATAAAAGGTAATATGAAATTATAATTTTTTATTAGGATAAAATCATATTTTTTAATGATTATATTAACAAATATCAACGAAAAGTGGTTATGTGTTACACATGCACAAACGTTATGAGATGTAAGGGGAATATTCTAAATGTGAAGGAGTTTAAATGATTAAGTGACAAATATGAGGGGATCTAGGTATAATTTATCAATTTAATTTTAGGTGCATATTAATACAAATTTCTATCTTTGAGGGTGAAAATTGAGATTTTTTATCTTTGGGGATGCACATTGATACAAATTTCTATCTTTGAGGGTATAAATTAAGATTTTTAATCTTTAAGAGTGTAAATTGAGATTTGAATAATCTTTTAGGGTGCAAAATAAGATTAACCCTAATTTTTAAGTCTAGAATTACTCGTCAAAAATTCCCAGCAAGTGCCTCTGGGCTGGTTCTACCAGTGATGGACTTGCATACAAAAGAATTGGCTCGTCGGAATGTCATCGACTGTTCAATCTTAGCCATTGACACCTACAACAATCACACGTTCAGAGCCCGGGATGCTGCTACTGCTGATGAAGATGATTCTCCTAAAATAGTTCAAGCTTATTCCACAGAGAGAGAGAGAGAGAGAGAGAGAGACAACACAGACGCACACTCTTCCGCCATGGCAGCTCAGAAAAGAGCTTCAGCAGACGGCATCAGCTCCAGAAAACCACTACCATCAGACTCAACCCAACCCAAATCCAAACCCCAAGAAATCGACCCAACAGACTCACCAATCGCGCCACCAAAAGCAATGCCAATCTTAAAGTTCTCTCTGGTATTCTTCATTCCGTACTTCTACTTGATCTTGTCTCATTACAGGATCGAATCGGAGCTCAAAAAATTGATTTCATCAATTTCCTTCTCAGTTCCGTGGGCTTCTTTTTGACCGTGGCTATGATTCCCGTGGCTTCTAAGTATGTTTTGAGGAGGAATTTGTTTGGATTTGATATTAATAAGAAGGGCACTCCTCAAGGTTCCGTCAAAGTGTAAGCCTTTTTTTGTATGTTTTTACTCTTTCAATAATTTTCTTTTGGTTGTTAGATAGAATTAGGAATTCGATTGTTACTTTGGATCTCAATTGTTCAATTGAATTTGGTAGTGGCGTAGTATGTGATTTGTTTGAATATATAGAATGAGCAAGTATTAGATTTTCATTTCAATCTGCAAATTTTCAATTGATTTGCGAATTCTATAGTCTGTTATTGTAGTTCAATACTAGTGAATTTGGATTTTTTCTACTTCTATGGATTGGTATTTTTTTGGGTCGTTGATTTGAATTTCAACATTGCAACAAATATCTGTAGATCAATCAAAATGTTTGCTTTTAGCTTGTGTAATTGTGTGTGTGTAGGTCTTTGTGCGTTTTTATATCAATGTCGAGTGGTAAGGAGTTTGCCCAACCCAGGCAAGAACATGTGTCGACTCCTACCTGTCACATAGCGATTTCTTCTCCCTTCCCATTAGGAATAAGCTAATCCATCACAAAAAAAGAATTGAATTTTATCAAATTCCAAGCACGTTAGTATTACTGCTTATTTTACTAATTGATTTTTAAATAAATTGTTGAATCTGTCATTTTTTGGATCATTGATGTGCATTCTGTTAATTCCATTAAAAGGTGGACATAAGTCATGAAACTTTACCTTCAGTGTGCAGGTGGGTTTTGGTTATTTACTGCTAATTGCAAATTACATAGATACACACATTCTCCTGTGGAGTTCCACAATTTAATGAAATCTGTTTTATGAAACCTTGTGGCTGGATAGCCTGGAGATGTCAATTGTTCAACTAAAGTGTGAACATGGATCTTTCTAATTTTATGTTGTTGTTTGAATTTCGAATATGTGGATTTGTCAATTAATCTTTTGGCATCTAAGTTGTTTAGCTGCTTGTTTCTGACACATTCAAAAGGGTGAGGTCAAATGTAACTCACAATTTGATTATGCATTATGTATGTAAACAAGCAAAATGTGATGTGGATTTATACCAATCTTTAATTAAAGTGAAAATGAAATAAAAATTATGAACATTGGTTTTTTATAGTTATCAGGCATTTATTTTGTTATCAATTGCTTCCTAACTGTTTAATCGAAGGCAAATATTTGAAGTGAGCTTTCTTTTTTCTGTTACAGTTCTTCAATTCAATTACAATTTTTTGGATTTTTTAACCTTTTATTTTGAAATTCATGTACCATGCATGTGGTAGATCCTTAATTTACTTCCCAATTGTCCGTAATATGCTTTTTTCTCCCTATAATCTGATGATAATTCAAATCAATATCTGACCCTGTGCTCCTTTCTTGATTTTCTGTATATTATATTTGTGATCTTTCTAAACCTGAGTCCTATCAAATGAGTGTTGTATCTGCTTTGGTTGGGTTTGGATTGTGTTTTGGCAAGTGATTGATGATTTGTAAAATTGGGATATGCGTTCACCAGCTACATGGACTGCTGTGAGTTATTCTTAAATATAAGCCAGAAGTCCTTACACTAATGATCCTAATGCAATATTAGTAATTTTGGATTAGAAAGCATGGACATGTCAGTCAAGCCTGTGTATCACCTTCAGACACGTTTGGTACATGTAAACATATAGACTCTTGATTTTTTTTATATTTTAAATTTCAGACATGTTGGGTTAGGCTGGGACACATTCAAGTCATGCTACATCATTTATTTTGAAAAATTGTGGTCAAATATGACTATAAAACCGATATACTGAAATAAAAAATATATAAGGAGAACATGTTAACCTACAACCATTCAGTCTGAAAAATAATAAATGAGGAAGAGGAAAAGATAGAAAGGAAACTAGAAATCTGCCCCCATGACCATGACCTTTTAACGGCCTTTGTCTTCTTTTAGCAGCTTCTAGTAACATACATCATGCTAAAGTTCCTTATTCCATCTCATTAGAGATTTTTTCTCCAAATTTGGGTTTTTGATTTTGTTTTGTTGATCATGCAATTATGTTGAGGAGTGATTATTGTTAGAATAGTTATTATATTTAGACTTAGGGGTAGTTTAGTCATTTGTTTTCTTTTATGTTGCCCTAGCTTAGTTTACTATATAAATACCTCTTATATGTAGTTTTTCTTTAAGCTTTGTTCTAACTAATTGTGCTTCAATAATATTCTCTTCTTTCTTCCTCTTACTTTTCTTTGATTGATCAAAGTTAACATGGTATTAGAACCAGGTTAGCATGGTTTCGATCCAAAGTATATAGTGTAGCACCACAGTAATTTAGTTGGAGGAAGAATATATTCTTAGGTTGTGTGATTTGAGGGCTAGTGATTGGTGGATTACTATTTTTTTGTGATTCCAAGGGTTGTGAACAGTGCCGAAAACACTGTTCATTGGATGAACAGTGCCAAAAGTACTGTTCACGCACTGTGGACGATACCGACGTTATTGTTCATGCTGTGAACAGTGTCGGATTTCGATTTTTAGTGCCTTTTTGGTGTTTTGCTACTGTCTTGCTGTTTTGCGGTCTATGTTTGTCTTCTGGACTTTTGAAAGTTATGGAATTTGGGTTGTCTAGTTGCTGGATTGCTGGTTTGATTTATTGGCTCGAGATGTTTGTATTAAGGCCTATTGAGCGTCTGATTCTTCGTTGGTTTCTGGTTTGTGAAGTTGGTACATTGGGATCTGCTGTTTAGATTGTTATTTTTGTTGACTTGCTGCTGCCTCTTCTCTTCTGCTGGTGCTTCTTCTTCTTCTGGTTGCTAGTCTGGTTATTTTTTCTTCGTTTGCTGCTATTGCTTTGGGCTTTTGGTTTGTTGATTAGTTGGTTTTGTGCATTGGTGAGTTGTCACGTTGCTGGTTTTTGATTTGTTCGTTTGGGCTTGCTATTTGACATAGCGTTGCATTGTTTCGCACTGAATAAATAGGAAACTTTTTGTTTCCACTTTTGATTGGTGGGTTTAAGCCTTTGGGACTGGTTTTATGAACGAACTGCTGGGTGAGTATTTGATTTGTAAAGTTGTTAAGTTGATTTGTGGCTAACCTTGGATTGTTTGGCGTTGGCTACTTCTTTTGGTTTTAGTTTCTGATTTTGACTACTTTTGGTTTGGGACTAGTTCTGGTTTGTTTTTTTTTTCTTTGTTGGGATTTGTTTTGTTGAGCATTGTTGCTGGTGGTTTTTGTTGATCTTTGGTTTTCTGTTGGACCTCTCATTGCTATTTGATCGTCTCTGGAACTTCGTGCTTACTTTGATGCGGACTAGGCTGGTGACTCTATAGATCGCAAGTCCACTACTGGTTTTTGTCTCTTCATTGGTGATTGTCTTATTTCGTGGAAAAGTAAGAAACAAAATGTTGTGGCTCGATCATCTGTTGAAGCTGAGTATCATGCTATGGCCTTCATAACAGTGAGATAGTTTGATTGTATTGGGTACTTGCTGATTGTTTCTTTACAAAATCTCGCACCATCGCACGCTTCCGTTTTCTTCTTAGCAAACTTTTGATGTTTAATGTTGCCACATCATGAGTTTAAGGGAGGGTGTTAGAATAGTTATTATATTTAAACTTAGGGGTAATTTAGTCATTTGTTTTCTTTTATGTTGCCCTAGCGTAGTTTACTATATAAATATCTCTTATATGTAGTTTTCCTTTAAACTTTGTTCTGGCTAATTGTGCCTCAATAATATTCTCTTCTTTCTTCCTCTTACTTTTCTTTGATTGATCAAAGTTAACAATTATTACTTAATGTTTTGAAGGATAGAGTCGGCGTTGTACTTAATTGTGATTGGTGGGATTTTTTTTTGTATGTAATTTGATTCAACCAATGTTAGTCTTCTATTTGTTGGATCTTATACATAGATGCTCCTACAGATATACTCGTGCATATATTAACGTGCCCCTTGCCTACTTGTATCTAATTTTTGTGAGAATATTTCTTGTCAGCATATCTATGACCCATGTGTGTCGACTGCTTCTTAGTTTTCTGTATCATGAAAATATGATTTGACAAGCATTTAGGAGTATTAGAAAACTTTATTTCAACTTCTGTAAGAATTCAGCTAAAAGAAAATTCCATTTTTTCAGTCTTAGAGGAATATTTGGTGGTGAATTGTCATTATGTGATATTAAATGCTTTGCTGATGTTGAATTATAACATGAGAGCAGTGATTACTTTTTCCTCTTGATATCTAGCGCATATTCATTTAATATGTCACCTAAAAGATGTGATGTTTTAACTAATCTTTGGTTGTTAGGCAATTCATTGCTTTGCTTTTGTAGGCATTGAGCATTTTCCATGGTACACAGTATTTCATTGTGGTGTTGCACATTAAAAGGCTCCAAATTTTCTTTTCACTGACCTGTTTTTAAGTCTGACATGCTTATAAAGCTTTGACGTTTTCATTAGTTGAGCATTACATTTTCTTATTTTCTGCTCTTGCATTGAGTTAGAACCTTTGTAGTGCGGATTCATCTGGTTAGATGGACTTTCATATGCTCCGTCAGTCCTAAAAACACCACAACAAGAGTTTTTGCAGGCTTTGAGTAGTTTATTCTTGTTTTTAGATAGATTGTGGGTCACTTTGTCCTATATGTGTGAATGTATTTTACATAAAAGGATTTTATTTGTATTGCATGTATGTGGTAGCAATAGGGGTTTTTTTTTGGACAATCTTTGTTATTGGAAATTTATAACATAGGCAGTTTCAAGTGGAAAGTGGAGCTTACTTGACTGTTACATCATTTTATCTGATTACCAAAAATTGAGTTCTATAAATGATATCTGCTAGTTCATTAGCTTCTTTTGATCAAGATAGAAACCAATGCTCTTTTGTATTTTGCAGGCCCAAGTCATTGGGAATTGTTGTTGGGATTGTCTTTTTGGTCTTGGCAATTTTGTTTCAGTACGTTAACTTCACATCAGATTCAATTGTAAGTATATTATATTCCAATAT